AAATGAGAGGCCCTGAGTTCAAACCCCAGTACTGCCAAAGGGAAAAAAGAAAGAAAAAAGAACCACAAAAGTCCATTTCTGACTACAAAATTCAATATTCCACACACAATCATTTGTACCTTTTATGGTAAGAAATTCTGATAGAATGGCTACTGTATTATAGTAAAGATGCCTGTCTGGGTTGCCTGTATGCTCTGTACTCTAGTTCATCTGTGCCTGTGAGTGAGACACAGTCATCTCCATTTCCTATGAGGAACCTGAAATTGGCTATTGGAAATGGCTCCCCCAAGGATACAGGAATAAAGGAATGCGTGTTACTGCCACCGTCTGTCCTGAAACTCTTTCCCTAGATTATGGTGAAGCTGGGCCTGTGGACCTCAAGAGAGTTGGTTGACATGTATGACATGGTTTTTCACAATCCCGAATTTGCTGAAAGAATTCTAACCTGGAGTATTCTCCAGCCTAAGAGCATGGAAATGATTAATTCTTTACATTCTGTTCTTAATTACACACAAGTGCTGTATTAGGAACCACAGAGTTTTTTCTACTCCTAGAGTCTAAGGTAGGTTTCTACTTATTAATAGACATATTTTCTGTCTTTGAGAAAAAATTAGCAGAACTATCAGACTGAACCCACTCTAACCAAAGTATAAAGAGAGCAGTTTTTCTACAGCTGATATTTGATAGACACTTGCCAGCATCGACCTGTTGTTGCTTTTGAACACCATATGAGTCTGACAGTTGGTGATTTGGGTAGCAGAGACAAAGGTTGCTTGTTTGACAGTCACTTGTCATCTTCTCTTCATTATGCATTCATCCATTGGTCACAACATTTTATGGAGAATTGTACAGGGAAGCTTAAGAAAAACGCTTTCCTCTTGTCTTGATGATAGAAAGCATTTCTCACTACTGGTAGTATGATGGTAACTTTTCATTCCTTCTGGCAGTTTTTAAAGACTTATTTGACTTTGGGGGAACCTGCAGTATATCTTTAAGTCGTAGTTCAAAAGTAGAAGGCAAGGTTGCTCATTTTCAATTTTGGCTGAAAAGTCTTAACTTTGTGGCACTTCAAAGTTAGAGAAAACTTGATTTAAAAATGGATGCTGATATGAGATGGCATATTTAATGACAGATGTATCTATAGAAAGCTGTTAAGATGCAGATTATCCCCCTGGGGTGGGGGAGGGAGATCAAAACTGCCAATCTATAAAATATACTCGATAGAGGGAGGCGTGGAATCTATCTTTGCAAGTGCTTTGATTGCAGGGGACAGTATAGCAGCATGTGGCATCATAACCCAGAGCAGACAAATCAGCTTGATGACTTTCAAAGCCAGGAATACTGCTGCAGGCAAGGGTACTCCAGTCTAGGAGAAATTAAAACATATAGAGACTGTTATTAATTCCATATCTATTTTTGTATAGTCAAATCTGTATGCAAATCCTTAGCATCTCATTTCAGCAGATTAATCTAAAAGTGAAGAGTGTTATGTGAAGGGACTATAACTGCAAATGAGTAACGCTGCTGAAGAAATGTGGGCTGAAAACTTGCAGGCTTTTTAAAAAATTTACTTTTTGTACTGAGAAGAAATTGTTTTTATTTATCTGCTCATTGTAAATTATTTCAAAGGGAAAAGAAATAGAACCAGTTTCAAGGTTTTCCTTTGTAATTCTGACTTGGCAAAAATTACAGCAGTAGGCCTGTTAGGCATTTCCTGTGGTTTCACACTCTAGAGGTAATCAACCAAATAACTAACGGGGACTTTCATTCTTACTCCCAACTAGTAATCCAGTATCTCATTTCTAAACATTGTCACAGGAGTGAAAATTTGTATGTAAGAGTAAGGAATCTAATTACAGGGTACAGATTAATAAAAATTGTACTACAGATGCATCTGTGGAAGCTAATAAATAATAATTGTGAATATTAATAATTTTGAAGAGCATGGGGATAAACCCCGTGCCTTCTTTGGAAGAAGAGATGTAATAGCTCCATTCTAATCTGTTGGTTGTACATTTAATCTGTAATAGGCAGAGTCTGATACATACAGTAGTGTAAATATTTTAAAACAGTGTCATAAAGAAGACACTTTACTGCAATAGATATTAATTCTGCCCCATAATTCTAAAACAAGTAGACAAACTTCAAGTTATAAATAGGAGGTGGGAACTTTACCCTCTGTTCCTTTTCAATTGGAGACTTGGTTATAGGATATTAATCTGATGGTTATGGCCCAGATCAAAGTCACTGAAAATCATGTTAACCTTGAACACTTGTGTGGTCTCAATCGGTTTCATGATTCTTGTGTGGTTATACTGAGAAAGAATTACTGAACATTCCATTTTTAATCAGATAGGAAAGAAAAGATTGGGAGTCAAAGCAAACATACCTCTATATGTATTTTGACATATTTTCTTGACTATGTAGGCATTTCAGCCTTGGCTTTCTTAAATGTGTTTTCTTTTCCTTTGATTTCATTTTAGAAATGAGACATTCAATGAGAAATCCAGAGAAAACTTTGAGAGCAGGAATCTAATTTCTTTCCATTGTTTGTGGATTTCCTCTGCAGACAAAGCTTCTGTTGATTTTGAAAGTGTTGTATTACTTTGAACAATGTATGCTTGTAAAAAAAAAAGTGTTTGAAAGCTGAAGAATTGAAAAAAAACAATAGCCCCTCAGTTAATAACAACTATGGTCAATTACATGAAAGATATTATCTCCTTACTGGGATTGAGTGAGAGTAATAGTTGTCCTGGACGGGTACCCTCTTTTTTTGGTATCTGTTAGTATTAATTAATGACTCCAGTTCAGTTGAGAATTATATATGAATCTTCTCAATTCTGGTTGACTTGACTCTTGACCTTGGGGTTGATGATGGAGACCTACTTAAAGAATTTGAATTATTAAAGCAAATGGATGGGCAAGGAAGATTTTATTCAAGATTATTTCAACAGGGTAGAGAGATCAGAATGGAGTTTAGAATCTGCTCCATTGAAATAAGGTTTTTAAGGGGACAGTTTTAAAGCATCGGGTGAGCAAATGAAAGGCTTTGGGGAGAAAGTCAATCAGTAAATGTGCTGAACACATCCAGTTATTCCTCAGTTTGCAATTTTATTTCTCCGTGATTAGGCCATTTGTGTTTGCTAATTGGTGCCTATCAAAGTTAGGCTCCTGTTCTGCCACAAAGTGGGAGATTAGGCGCTATCCTTGATGATTCTATTTCAAAGAGATGGCTGCCAGGTCCTTTAAAAGATATTCTTGTGTTGTAAAAGCGGCAAGTGTCTTTTAAAATGATTTACATCTCAAAGAAGCAGAAAAAGGACTTAAAATTATACCTTCTAAAATAAATGCTCTAAGAACAGGGAGGTCAGGGACCTAGAGTCAGGGAGCAGCCTAAAGCCAAGGGAATGTTTAGGCCTTCTTGGTCAGTTTTATAATAGAACATATTTTTCAATTCAAAAAATTCCAATAAGAACAGTTTTTAGACTGGGTCAATTTTAGATCTTTATTGCAAAATTAGTTCTTCTTTGTGATACTTATAATGTTACTCATTTTATGCTAGTGTCTAGAATTATGTGTAAGGCAGTATTTGTAAAGATAGACTTTGTGTGTGTGTGTGTATTTCTGTTATTTCATCACCTATAAATTTCTCACTGCATTGAGAAATGGGCTTTTCCCATTTGATGATAAAAATTAAAGTAGAATTTAAACTTTCATTGAATACTATACGCATGAAAAAAGTTTAGGTTGACAATTTCTCACCCAAAATGCTTGGGACTAGAAGTGTTTGGATTTTGGAATATTTACATATATAATGAGACTTCTTAGAGATAAGAATTTCGTGACACACAAAACTCATTTGTTTCATAGATACCTTTTGCACATAGCCTGAAGGCATTTTTATACTATATTTTTAATGTGTTTTGGCTGTGACTTGTCTTGACTTGAGGTCAGGTGTGAAATTTTCCACTTTTGGCTTCATGCTGAAGCCCAAAAGGTTTCAGATTTTGGAGCACTTTGAGTTTTGGATTTTTGGATTAAGGATGTTCGACCTGCATAAGGATAAATAGTAGAAACAGTTGAAAGAGTGATGACTCTTGTGGTTTTAATTAAGCAGATGGTCTCAGATCTCAGCCTGGATCAAGGCATTATTAAGAGGACTTTTAAAAGTTCCCTACAACAATGGCATTGGAGAACTTTAGATCCGTACTGTCCAGTTTGGTAGTCATTAGCCATTAGCCACGTATGTCTTGAAATGTGGTTAATCTGTGCTGTGTCAAATACATCCCAGATTTTGAAGATTTAGTATGAAAAAAAGAAGCTAAGAAAATCTCTGTAATTTTTATTTTGATTTCATATTGAAATACTATTTTGACCATATTAAGATAAATAAGTATCATTAATTTAATGTCACTTTTTTTTTTACTTTTTAATGTCGCTACTAAAGAATGTATAATCACATTATGTGACCTACATTTGTGGCTCTTGTTATATTCTGTTAGATAGCACTAGCTCCAGATTCCTTTTGATAAGAAATGCCTTTTGCTATTTATTTCTTCCAAAAAGATATCAAGATATCACTGTGTTAATGTACAGAACTTACAGCTTTAAAATTGCCAATTTAGCTAAGGACAAGAATTTTCCATATAACTGTCTCTGCCATAAATTATATCGAGATTAGTCTATGTGTACTATGTTCACCTCCCTCCCTCCCTATACCTTGCCCCTCATTCTGGTCTGGCAGAGCAGCTTGCAAGAATTTGAGGCCCCTTAGTAACATCAGGATACTTGTTGCTTGCTCTCAACTGGATTACTTCTGAAATGTTTCTTAAAAATGACACCACTTTAGCAATAAGCTTCTTAATGATGTCATGGGTTCACCCTGAGTGTATACAGTTTCTTAGCAGTACCTAATTTTCTTTTAATTGTATTTCATTCTTGTTTTGGAATGTTCTGTTTCTTATTCATGAAAAATTCTAACACATGTTACTCCATTACAGGTGGAGTAACTAACACAGCACAATATCAGAACAGATTAATGGTATATGAACCTAACCAGGTAAGACTCATATAAGAACAGCTCATTACTCTCATAAAAATGAACTTTTAAAAGATTTCCACAGGAGGCCAGGCATGGTGGCTTAAGGTTGTAACCCCAACTGCTTGGGAGACAGAGATGGGGATGATTACAGTTCCAGGCCAGCCTGGACAAAAAGTTAGAAAGACCCCATCTCAACCAACAAGCTGGGTGTAGTGGTGATCCCAGCTATGAAGGAGGCCTAGATAGGAGGATTGAGATTTATGTTGACCCTGGGCAAAAACGAGATCCTACCTGAAAAATAAAGCAAAGAACGGTTGGGACTGTGGTTCAAGTGGTAGAGTGCCTGCCTAGCCAGCATAAGGCTCCGAGTTCAAAACCTAATAGCTCCAAACAAAGAAAAAAAATATTTCCACAAGAATTAGTAATCGGAATGCCAAGTCTACACCAGGCACATTGCATCTTAAGCCTAAATAGGGAAAAGGAAGCAGTTGAATAAGCTGCTTTTTGGTTTCTTTTTTGTTGTTACAAAATTTCAGCTCCTCTAATTTTGTGCTATACACAGTGATACACTATTTCAGAGTTTTACATAATGTAGGAAGGACTGTGAATGTCCTGTATCCTGTAGCCATGTCCTTCTGGAATGGATGCCAATCTGTGAAGGAAACATGCTAATAGTTTCATTATTCTCAAATCAAATAACAAATATTATTTAACTTAACATAGCCAAAATGTACCTAGAACAGGTCTAGAAGAGCCAAAAGTAGAAACATGTGAAGAGGTTGAGTATGTTTTTCATCTCACAGCTTGTCCTGAATTAGACGTATTTTGAGGTTGTCTGTATGTTCTGTGGACTTCTCATTGCACACTTTCTGACTTTTGTCCCCCCAAAGAACAAATACTTTTATTCTTTCTCCTTCTACCAAAATATCGATGGCCTTAGCAGATGTCTGCCAACCTTTTTCTTTTCCATGATTTGAATAATGTAAAGATTTTTTTTATTCTGACAATATTCTAAAACAATTTGACTTGGAGGTTTAATATCCATCAGCTAAAGATACTAGGACATGAAACAACAGTTTGACTTTGACTATGTGTGTCAGGATTGGCCCCTGAAAAATATGTTCAGTGTAAAGGTGTTTCTCTTTTTACAAGTGCATTTCCTGATATTATTAGGGGCTGTAAATTTCAGAGACCAAATGTCCATAGGTCAGCTGTCTCAAGAGGCATCACTAATTGCAGTTGCTTGAGTTTGGTACACACATGGTTAAAGAGGAAGAAAGTGTTAGCATTACTTAAATGAGTTCTGCTTCTTGTTTGTACACACATGCTCTTTTTTTAAAATTCTGCTGGCATATTGTTTACGATGGGTACTGGCAAACATCACATCTGCTTGCATCTTGCTCAGAATCTCAATAACTCTATCATTCAGCCCTGGTGCTTATTTCTCTGCAAGGCCTTTGTGGAGACTCGATAATGCCTGCCATCTGCCACAGAGCACATCACTACCTGCCAACAGGCAGGCTGGGGTGACCTCTGCTTCCCCACTACTGATTAGTATTCACACGCTAGCTTATTAGGAATGACCCCACCAGGCCTCTCTGTTTCTTTGCCTTTGCAGTGGTTGGCGGCTCACCTGGCAGGCACTGCAGTGAAGTAAGCTAAAGATATAATCAGGGGATGTAGGCAGGCTTTGCAAACCAGATGGCATCTATAGTATTGTGGCAGGGGACTGGACTGCTAATGCAAACATTGGTTCCTAATACTGTAATGAGTTGTCTCATAGAAAGCACCCAAGAAAAGCATCATCAGAGTTCTTTAAAATCACTCAAGTGTAATGTATTAAAGGTATTTCTTAGCAAAATATCTGAAAGAAAGGTTTGACTATTTTATTAAAGATGTATTTAATTGTAAGGAGATTCTTACACATTCAAATGGGGAGAGCAGGTAATGCAAGCCTTCCAAACAGTACAAACACCTTTTTTTATGTTTTACTTTTGGAGTATATCTTTAAAAGAGAAATTAGACATGTATATCTGCCTATAGTGAATATGCCAATGTGTTGTACAAACTTGTTTATAGTTGTTTGTTTCTTTCCTTACAGCTTTGTGAACTGGTGAAATTCTATGTATTCAAAACATCGTATGTTTTTTTCTGGTCAAAATCCAAATTTTTCTTGGCAAAAAAGGAACTAGGTTCTTCCTATGTGTTTACTGTGTGTGGAGAAAGAAATCAGATTTATTTACCTGTCCATATCACTTCCTTGAATTATTTACTTGAAATTTAAAATTAAGGTCATGTTTTCAATGTAGTTTTAAGCTTTTATTTTAAAAGGGGTTGAGCATACCCTTCTTGTTATTAAGGGTGACCTAGCACTGAACATTGACGATTTCACCATTCTCTAAAGTTCTCATGTAAATACTAACAAATATGTGCCTAGAAATCAATTTTCCCAGGTTGGCAGGAGATGAAATTGTAAAAGGATGGGAGAATTGAACTAAATCTTAGCTTACCCACTGATCTCAGGTTAATTTCAGAAAGAAAAGCAAAGTTACCCTCGCTATAGTTTATCTTGGGCCCCTGGGTACTCAATGACCATCGCATTGTAAATAAAAAAGTGAATGTGTATTCGTGATTTCTCTAAATGCCTTATGTATTAGCTCATTTCACCTTCACAATATCAGGTAGGTATTATTATCTCCATTTTACAAATGAGGAGATAGGCACAGAGAGGTTAAGCAAACTGCTACCAATCACAAACAGGTTGTAACTTGGGTATTCTGGAGTCAGAGACTGTTTTCTTATTACACCATTATCCACAGTATACCTGGTCATGTGCTTCAAATCTTAAGTAATTTCCATGAACAAATTCTCTGAATTAGGAAATTTTCCTGAAAATTGTTAATGTTTCCTTTATAAAATGTAAAATGTCCTCTAAAATGCAACCCAAACAAGAGGACATGCATTACATAAGTCACAAAAAAGGACTGGAACTTGTACTTGTTTTCATATAAGAAGCATCTGTATCAAGATATATAAACAATATTCAAATAAAATGTGCTTGATAAACACTAGGGTTCCTACTGCTAATGAATCATTACTGCTATTTCTGCCAAGCAGACCTCCTCTAACAGAATGCACTTGAATTTCTTTTTTTAGAATAAGTGGATAAGCCGCAGCCCCATGCTGCAGAGAAGGGTCTACCATTCCATGGCTGCTGTCCAAAGGAAGCTTTATGTTCTTGGAGGCAATGACCTAGACTACAATAATGACCGGATCCTCGTGCGCCATATCGATTCTTATAACATTGACACTGACCAGTGGACGCGTTGTAATTTCAACCTGTTGACTGGCAAGTATCTTTGATTAAATAAATAAAAAGGCAGAGGTTCACAAAGTTGTCAAAATTGTTTCCTTAGACATCATTTAGTACACCTCTAAATATTAAGTGCATACTGGGTAAAACAACTTAATTTTATTAACCAGAAAGTTGTGCATTACTTATCTCACGACAAACTGGATTCATTCAGGTTGCTGGGCATCTGGTTTCTCAGAACCTTATTTGTACTTCTCATATAACTAAGAGAAGCATGTCAAGTCCATTATCATCAATCAATTTTCAAATGGGAACTTTGAAATATGTAGAAGGAGCAAGGTGCTGAAAGAGTTAGTAACTCTTTACAGAAGCAATTTATATTTTACTTCTTACTTCTTAGTCCTCTTCTATTTCTTGTGAGTTCAGGAGTTCAGAAGAGTGGTGGTCTTCATTATTTGCCACTGTCAAATATTGTTTCTGGGTGTAATCTCTTAGAGATTAAACTTTAGTAGTTCTGTGCATAGGGGTTTGGCTGCATTTCTGGTCACACAACCACATCCAAGCATATCCACAGGGCAATCCTAGGTGTGGCCCCTCCTCATTCCAAAAAGGAATGAAAGGAAAAATATAAACAACATTATGCCTGATGTTTCTTTACAGAATTGAAAACTGTTTCTCTCTTCTCAGTTTGCATTATTAACATCCACAAATGATCCAATCCTTCCAGTGCTGCTCAAATTAAGAGGAAAAGCACAAACTCAAAGTGGGGGGTTAGCTTAGTTCCTGATGACATTTTAATATGCTGAATGGGCATTCAATCACTCACAGCTGCTTTTGGAGGAGGCACCACTGAAAGCATAACCAGAGATTTAAATGCTTTGTATTGAGCTCCTGTTTTTGGAAAATGATTTTTGAGGCCAACAACAAATACCAATTCTCAGTTATAGTGGTACCTTAGACCCTGGATCCTTGGATCTGTGATTCTGCCTGCTATAGGACCTGGCTTATTTATTACTCCAGTCAATCCTGTGTCAGCTCATCAATAAAAAGAGACTCTTTCACTCTCTGATGGCCTCCAGGGAAGAATATGTGGTAGTGAGTTATTCTCTTTTCTTTTTGAAATGGGAGGGGAAACCTTTCATCATTTTGGCGTGTCAGTATCTAGGGATTATCAAGGCTGGTCCCAGCCCAGCAACTTTAATATAATCTTAAAACTGTTGTGTATGTAAAGAAAGGGATGGTAGCAACTTTATCAATTTTTTTTCTGCCATTTGTCTTCATTTGAGGCATGCTTGGGGCATGGCTCTGCTTTATTGGCTACTTGGGGTTGCAGCTGTTACTTTACAAATGTAAACACTTACCTTAAAAGCATTCATGGGCACAATGTTTTGCATATTTAAAATATACTTTTATTTCTATCACTATAAATTCATAGCATACAACATAGTGTAAAACATAGTTCTATATAGCTTACTATTGATGTATTTTAATGCTACATTTACTAACGTGGCTGGTTAATAAGTGTTTTGGCCTGGTTCTGACCTGATACAGACTCATTCTGAGAAATAGTGGTTAATTCTTTTGCCACAGGGGGAAGTTGTCTCCCTCAGTGGCAAAAGGGTTAATTAAAACGTAAGAAATTGAAGGATTTTTTTTTTTTTGCCATTTTTCTTTTTATTCAATTCTTTTTACTTTAGGCCAGAATGAATCTGGAGTTGCTGTCCATAATGGGAGAATATATTTAGTTGGTGGATATTCAATTTGGACAAATGAGCCTCTGGCTTGTATCCAGGTGAGTGGTGGGAGTTCCTTTTGAAGTTTGCTCAAGTGGTTCAGTAAGGTTATGTTTTGTAGTGCAGCCACTGAAGGAGATATTTACATGTAGAAAGAGTCTCAAGATCCCTTTTTCTGTGTAGCTAGTTCAGGCACTAAATTTTGTCTCACATCTTTAAAATGATGCCTGCTAAATCATTGAGTCATATTGAAAATAAAGGTGGGAACAGCTGTAAAAATATATGTAAGATATTCTGGAAATGGGGAAAATGGGGTGTCTTACCCTTTGTTACAGATAAAAAAAGATCCAAACATCTTTGCTAATGGATCCGTTGCACTCCCAAAATGTTACAAATGCCTCCCTTTCACAGTTTCCTTATTTTGTATTTTGTATATTGCAATTTGTTAATTTCCATGAATGCCACCTAGAAAGGCCTTCCTCTTTCCTGGCAGAGGGTGTGAATGGTAGTGGTTTATGATCAATCTGACAGGGACAGCCTTTGGACCAAAGAATAGCCCTGGCACATCAGCATGTAAGCAGCCCAAGCTGGGCAGGTGACCAACTGGATCTTTCAGAAGAGCAACAGCCTTTGCTGATAAATACATCTAAAATATTACTCATAGTACTATTTTACAGTTCTTACCATACTTTCTCTATTTACATGTTCTTTGATAAAAATATTGACATGTCTTAGCCTTTCTCTTGACACCCAGAAAAAAACTACTCATATTATCTAATCTCATTTTTGTGGAAAGATTTTTTTAATGATTGTTTTAGTATCTTTAAGATTTGTAGAACTATCCAAGCTTTTAATTCTCCAGTTACATATATATGTATGTAAAGGCTATACACATGTATTTTTTTTAAAGAAACCTTTTCCTGTTGTCTAAGTTTTCTAAGTTGCTAGCATCTAGTTGTGTTATCCTTAGTTATATTTCCTTTCGCATTCATAATGTTGTCTTTTTTCCTCTTGAGTTGTCACTCCTCTTGATTTGTTTGGGGATTTTAGCATACTTCTATTATGCATACGGATCAAGTAGAAAAAAATCAGCAAGGACAAGGCAGATATGAAAAACATAATTAATAAGCTTGACCAAATGAATGGATTCTATATTGAAAAGTTAAAATATATTATTCTTAGCATACATAGAACATTTTCAAAACCAATCATGTACTAGGGTTAAGGTTAAAAAACTTTAATAAATTTCAAAAATTTAGTATTATGTATTTCTAATACAATATAAATTTGAACTTAAAATGTTAATTAAAAAAATTTTATATATATATATATATATATAGAGAGAGAGAGAGAGAGAGAGAGAGAGAGCCACATTAACTTATGGGTTAAAGAAGTAATAATGGAACTTTAAAAAATTCCCAGAACTGTGTGATAATGAAAGCCATGCATAGCAAATCTTTGGGATAAATATAACTCATTAAGTTAGAAAGTGAATTTAAAAATAAACTCAAAGAAAGTAGAGAATAAAATGAGAGGAAATTAATGAACTAGGGAACAATGACACAGTAGAAAATTATCAAAGCCCTCCCCCCACTTACAAAAAGCACATAAGATTTTAAGGGAGTTAACTGAAAGCATAACTTGTATGAGAGATTAGTCATATTATCTTCTGGATAAGAACAAATGAACAAACTGTTTTCTCCCCAGGAGTGCTTCTAGTCTTCATCCAAGCATGTATTTATTTCAGGTTTTTAGGTTTCTTTAATTTTTCACTTTTCAGAATTGTGAAACATTGAACTGGGCAAAATGCTCTATAGTGCGAGAACCGTATTTTAGGTGGCTTTGGGGCACTTCATTTGACTACTTGCACAATAGAAAGTTTGGTATTATCATTAAGTGAAGTTGCAAACTTTAAAACACTTATGGGTGTATCTCCACTAATTTTAACATTGGATTAGCTTAAGGAATAGAAAACAAATTAAAGCTGTGACTTAATGAGAAAGTAAGGAAAACTCTTCATACATATTATAGAATGCTGCCATAATTCAATACTTTTCTCTATCTCCTGTTTTGGAATAATCTTGAAACTTAGCTTATAAGACATAGGAAAAAACAAACAAAACATAACAAAACAACCTCAAGCTTCACAATCACTTCATCTGGTTTTTGCCCTCCAAAGAGCTTTTCCCTAAAAGGATCAATAACTATACATGCTAATTTATAGCTAATGATGTCTGGCTGTTCCCAAACAAGCAACCCTTGTCTTTGAGAGATGAAGGGGTGCAAGTGTCTTTAAACCACTGAGAACATTCAAGAGTATCCTCAGGATTACAGTGATTCTAAAAGAGGGGGGGACTCAAAAATGTCTTAACTGATATCTGTATTAGTGGAATAAATTTCACCTGAGATTGTACAATAAAATATTCTAATATATTTGTTTGTAAAGTCAGCAATATAGGTAATTCTGTCTCATTAGCCATTCTGATGAATGGAGATCAGTCCTTTTACAAATTATTTATTCCCTTGGCTGGCATACTGGTGCTACAAAGCACAAACAAATCGATACAAATTTTAAAGAGCTTTTATTATTAACAGATAATATGCCCACATTAGAATATGGATTGTCAGTTAAAGAGATGTTTGTAATAAAAGTTATCATGGATAATATACTTACCATAAACCATGTATATTTTAGTTACTAACAAGTGGTTGCTGGTTATATTATCATTCTTTCTGAACTAACGATCAAATATTGTATATTATGAGTGACCACAGATCTATTCATTTTGATGCACTAATAGTAATATATTAATGGTTGGAGAGACTAGCTACACGCTTAAAGGAAGGCTATTTCCTTACTACTTGCTTTAAGAATATCCAACAGAAGCAAGGAGACAATGGAAGACACAGACTGATTATGAGAAAATGTTGTCAAGATACTAGAAATTACTAACTATAAAAGCCTGTCAAAAAGTATAGGATAAATGGTAGTGAAAATCATATGCACACTAAAACTATCAAACTTAATTTTTTTTGTCACAAATTACAAATCTATGTGATTTTTAATCCAAGATTAATTTACAATTCATTAATCCAAGAGCATGGCTGCTTAATGAATATCATACTTAAATAGTTCAGAGATTGTTCCATCAACATCCAGAAGGACTAAATTCACTTTTTTTTTTTTTGCCCTTGAAAATACCAGCCAATAACCTGTCTCATTAGACTGCTCCTTCTGGACCCTAATCCAAGTTCATTTACAGTCATTTGTGGGATTCAGCCACCTGGGATGCTGCATGTGAAATGGTGAGAAAGCATACTGGTTCATTTCTGGCTACTGCTCTGACAGACTACTTGATTCATCACAAGGACAACCCCAACAAGAGAAAAACTGAGATGCTCTTAAATTAATGCTTATTTAAAGATTTAGATTTGGACTGGTTAGTAATAGACTCATGGGAAATACTGTAAATACATTCCTGATAAAAGTGAAGGTGCTTTTATTTATTTTGTGGGTGTGTAAGCAAAAGGTCTGGCATAGAAACTTGACTCTAATCTGGTGTGCCATGGATGACAAGTAGTACATAAGGGAGCAGCTGCGTAAGTGTGCAAGTGATTAGTCTGTTTCCAGATCACTTCTACTGTTCTCTTCATTTACTATTATTTCCTTTTGGCTGGGGGTTATGCTGCCAATCTGGCACTGCCTTCTCCCAAACGCCTTCTTTCTGCCAGTTTACAGGGGAGTGTTTGGGAGAAAAACTGCCAAAGCTTCCTTTTCCCTTCACAGATTAAATACATTACATCTGCTTAACATATGCAGTCTCTGTTGGCCCAGGGAACCAGACAAAAGCTCTCTGGATGCTTACCTCACTGTTATTTTGTCTTCTAAACATGAATTTGTTTAGGAGAAGGGATACTATTAAGGCACTAAATCCCTGCTCTTTCTGGGCTGCATTTTTGAGCCCATATACTGTACTCCGCCACTTGCTCAAGTTACCTTTATCAAGTCACTAATTTTCTCTGTTTATCAGGTTTCTTCTCTGTATGTGGAAAACAGTGCTTAATCTTATGCAGTTGAATAAATATTAAATGATCTCCACTTTCTAAATCTAATGAAATACCAATCAAAACCCCATTGAAATGTTCCTTTTTCTTATGATGTGGTCAAGTGGTATTTGTCATACTGATCTTAAAGTTTCTTTAGGAGAGTGAATATATAAGAATAATCAAGAGATTTTTGAAAATGAATGGGGAGACTTTCCTTACACATTTAAGACAACTATAAATCTAATACCACCAGAAGATACATAAATTAATGAAAGAGAACAAAGTTTGTATTTGGTAATTGTTGAGTCTAGGGGATCAGAAGACAAAATGAGCCAGTGCCCCCAACGCACATGAGAGAGAGCACTGTGAGCCCTACATCCTGTAAAGGGACATGCAGTCTCACAAGTCATGGCCCTCTAGGGACGCCTGAAAATGCCACAAGGCTGATAAGCAGGAGGCTTTCGCAGAACTGTATCTATTCCTGCAGAGATATGTCAAAAGACCACTCAACCCCTGACTCCTGACTCCCCTCCCCAACAAAAAGGAGCAAACAAAACAAAACAAAACAAAACAAAAAAAACAACTCATGTAAACAACAGTGAGCTACCATTTTCTGGGCTCCCTGTCTGTCTTGAGGGGCAGCTTTTCTTTTCTAATAAATCCTACTTGCTGTGCTGACCTTGTTGTCTCACGAGTCAATTCGCGGCCTCATAAGCCAATTCTTTGGCCAGTGAAGGCAAGGACCCTCGACACGGGCTGGCAACAGTATGTAAGAGATATTCTAAATTAGTAATGACAGAGTATACTGTACAGTAAATGGAGAGAAATAAAAGTTCATTTAAGAAAAAAAAAACAGCTACAATTTGATTTTTATTTTAAGACTTGGTGATGTTCCCTTTTATAAGTGTGGCTTCCCAAATTTCAAGGGCTCCTTTCATATAAAACATGTATTACTATACTTAAAGTCTTAACCACAGGGGTGACAGATGAATAGGCATGAGATGTGCAGAGGTCTGTGGGGGACACACCTATATCTAGGATTCAGGTGAAGAAATGGGACCAAAGGTGGATAGCAATAGGGCAGTATCAATGACAACTTGTTAAAATTATGGTATCCAAGGGAGAAGAGGTTTTAAATGCAGTTAGAAGAAAGTCAAATGAAGAGAATATGACTGAAGGCTGGGAAGATCTAATGGGTCTGATATATGGGATGAGAGCCCCTTACCTGAAGAAAGAATTTAAACCAGATTCAATTAGGTGAGAGCAGACACTAAGAAGATAGAACCATGTAAAAAAAGATTAAAATCCAGCTTGAAGTGGAAGTAACTGGGGACAAATTTCCAGAATCAACTGAGCTAATTTTGAAGCTACTATTAAACTGTTACTATATTCTGCTATGTGCCAAATGCTCAGCTGGATGTCACCAACTTTCACAATGAAGCTGCCAGGTGTTGTTTCTTAAAAAAATTTCTTTTGGTGGTACTGGGGTTTGAACTCAGGGCCTCACACTTGCTAGGCAGTGCTCTACCACTTGTGCCCTGCCCCCAGCCCAACTGTTTTCTTCATTATATGGGCAAGATTGTGTAAGCCAATAAAATGACACTACCTACAAATAAGTTTGAGCAAGTTACTTAACCAGACTAAGGCAGTTTTATTAAGTGAGGATAACCTTACCTTCCTCATCATTGTTCTGAAGACTGAAAGATTATATACATATTTTTGTATGAATGTACTCACACAGTCTAGCACTTAGTAGGAACTTATAAATATTCTGGTCTTGTCCTAGCAAGAAGAATAACAAAGTCTATGGTATGGTGATGGTGGCACAGCCTCATTTGAGTTCAGGCTTCAAGTGTACACAGATTTGAGTAATCATCTTTTCTTCTTTTGTAGGTATTAGATGTAAGTAGAGAAGGCAAAGAAGAAGTATTCTATGGACCCACACTACCTTTTGCTTCCAATGGAATAGCAGCATGCTTCCTTCCAGCCCCGTATTTCACATGTCCTAACCTTCAAACTCTTCAAGTGCCTCATCACAGGATTGGCACCATCTGAAAAGCCAATACTTTGTTAAATAATCATCATGAATAGAGGAAAAACACAAACTTGATTTTTGGATAATGGGAATGAAAATTCTCAGTTTAAGGTTTCCTTGTCTTGTTTTATAGGTCTTATATTCAGATAAATATTAGCACAAAATGAACAATTTTCTAACATATATTACTGAGAACTTTTGTCACTCTTCTCTGTCAACCTACAATATGTATGACTTTTTCTGTGGTGTAGTTTAGTGCCAACTTCACAGCACATTATTGTTCCATGGGTCTTAAGCATTCTTGTACACATTTCCTAACCAGTGCTAAGAAAATATGACACTGTTAGCAAGGCAATGTTTCACACAATGTCATCAGTGATCTTGAAATCTTCTGTACTTACTCTCTTTACTACTTAAACACTGGGTTGTAATCTTTCTTTTCAAAATTTAAAATGCAGTCCTGCTCAATAGATTCAGCATTATGACAACATAAATTTTTAAGTGTCATATTTTATTTAAGGTGATTCAAATAATAGAAGTTGAAAAACCTAGGTTTTTCCACCTTAGTTATTTCGACCTTTTGTCAGAACTTTATAGTGCTTTAGTTTTCCTATCTTTAAATAACTACTGACTTCCACATTCATTTAGAAAAAACATTATGAAAATTAGGCAAATACTCGAACTATGCTTAACAAAAAATGTTACTCAAATTATAAGCTATTTTAGTGTTTAGAACCATGTAACTGAAATCAGATTATTTTTAAGTTTATAAATTACTAGATAGAACTTGGAAAACATGCTGTGGGACAAATGATTATGAAAAGGCTGTGGGCGAAAAAATGCCCTTCCCAACCAGAAAAAAGGGCATTTACCATCACCAAAGATACCAAAACTTGTACAAATCCTTGCCTCAAATAAGAGCTCTCTTAAACGTCTCATCTTAAATCACTTAGTGAACAATAAAAGTTAAAGCTAAAAACTTAGTTGTACTAATTGCGGTACCATAAAGTGCTCTCACATAAATCTAAGCCTAGAATTGGCAGTTCCAATAAAAGTTTTCCACTTTGTTAAAGGTTATGTCAATCTTGAGCGCTTGTGGGATTCTTTACCACTACTAATACATATTTTATTACTACCGCTTTTAATAATACATAAGAATTCTTTTTTAGGCTAGGTTTTTGGGTTTGCTTTGTCTATAACAAAAATAAATAAAGCAACTTAATCACATTGGAACACAAACTCAACAAGTATAATGTGAATTTCTTTATTTCTAATCTCACTAGGACTTAAGGTCATCTTTATGAAAAGAAAAATTTTGCTCTGACTTGTCATTTCAGCAGTTTAATCATTCAGCCTTTCCTCTCCTATAGGAAATTGTCATCTTATTTGTATAACTATTTTCAGTAATTAAAAGTGAGTGAAAAAAGATTTTTATTTTTTTGAAACAGGGTCTCAAAAACCTATGTAGCCTAGGTTAGCTTTGACCTCACAATCCTCCAGCCTCTGCCTGTTGGGAAAAAAAATAAATAAATGAAAGCAACCTTTTTATCTTAAATATAGAATTCACTAACATTATACATTGCTACAAGGCATCTAAAGTGTTATTAAAAAATATGGAGTGAATACTAACGGTGAGGAAAAATTTAAAAAAGAACAGGAATTTAGTTTAAAAAAAAACTGATAGCATTTGAACTGTTCTGAATAGCAAAAATTGATATTGATATCTGATATTAAGACGATGACAACATCTTTAAAAGGTTATAAGTCATCTAGACTAAAATCCAAGTCTCATACTAAGGTAAATGGACTCAGCATTTCAGAAATCTGAAATGCTTGTTCAGAAACAAGGACCTAAACAAGAATTCCAAGTTTACTAAATTTTCTACTTGGCACATGATTTTTTTTTTCATCCAGCAGTTTTACCTTTTATTTACTTATTTATTTTTTGCCCTTACTTCTAATTTTGTTGTAGAGAGTATAAGCAATAGGAAGGAACAAGGGTTTTTGCTGGTTGAGATAAGGATAGCTATACAGGGAGTTGACTCACCAGTTTTACCTTATAAAAATCATTAAAATCTACTTGTATTCCAAGACTGCACACATACTGAATGAAAGGGAAGTGGCTTAAAGTAAGCTTACATGAAAAATGGGAAAGTAGCCCAAGATACCCTTATTTCTGTACAGATTTTACTATTTGTTTAAGTCAGCATAAATTATCAAACCCCTCTTTGGAGATTTTATTTTCATTTTTCTTTTATTATTCATATGTGCATACAAGGCTTGGTTCATTTCTCCCCCCTGCCCCCACCCCCTCCCTTATGACCCACTCCGCCTCCTCCCCCTCCCCTCCCCCAATACCCAGCAGAAACTATTTTGCCCTTATTTCTAATTTTGTTGTAGAGAGAGTATAAGCAATAATAGGAAGGAACAAGGGTTTTTGCTGGTTGAGATAAGGATAGCTATACAGGGCATTGACTCACATTGATTTCCTGTGCGTGGGTGTTTCCTTCTAGGTTAATTCTTTTTGATCTAACCTTTTCTCTAGTTCCTGTTCCCCTTTTCCTATTGGCCTCAGTTGCTTTTAAGGTATCTGCTTTAGTTTCTCTGCGTTAAGGGCAACAAATGCTAGCTAATTTTTTAGGTGTCTTACCTATCCTCACCCCTCCCTTGTGTGCTCTTGCTTTTATCATGTGCTCATAGTCCAATCTCCTTGTTGTGTTTGCCCTTGATTTAATGTCCACATATGAGGGAGAACATACGATTTTTGGTCTTTTGGGCCAGGCTAACCTCACTCAGAATGATGTTCTCCAATTCCATCCATTTACCAGCGAATGATAACATTTCATTCTTCATGGCGGCATAGAATTCCATTGTGTATAGATACCTCATTTTCTTAATCCATTCGTCAGTGGTGGGGCATCTTGGCTGTTTCCATAACTTGGCTATTGTGAATAGTGCCGCAATAAACATGGATGTGCAGGTGCCTTTGGAGTAACCTGTGTCATATTCTTTTGGGTATATCCCCAAGAGTGGTATTGCTGGATCAAATGGTAGATCGATGTCTAGCTTTTTAAGTAGCCTTCTTTGGAGATTTTAATAATGTATTATTCACTGCTATTATAGAATTGAACTCAGAAGAGGAGAGGCAGGATGATTTTGAGTTTGAGGCATGCCTGTGCAAAGTTAGCAAGATGAGAACCTATTTCAAAAGCAAAACAAACAAAAACCCCAAAAGTTCTGAGGGTATAGTGGTAGAGTACTTGTCTCTTGTCTAGTAAAGCCTGAAGCCCTGGATTCAAGTACAATATTCTCCCCTTAAAAAGAAATAAAAACCAAACTCAGATCACTTATAATTAGATCCCTTTCCTCAGTTATCAATAGTAAGAGAAAACTTCTATAAAACTATGTTTTTATTTACAAGTCATCTCCCATTGAAACTATTCATATATATATATGGCTTGAGTAGACAACTCTTGGTGGGGTTTCTAATTGTATCTTTGGAACATGAGTGCTATGATGATATGTAGGATTTAGGGAGGGCAGATTTCCTAAAGGTTTTCTCCACATGCAGAATATATAAACATATATATATATATATATATATATATATATATATATTCATATATATATATATAAACATATATATATATATTCTCTATATATATGTTTCTATTTCAGTGAAGTATCCTGTAGTAACTTCCATTTTTACTCTTCAAAATAAGGTCAAATTTTATTTTAATTTCTATGGAAGACCCAACCATTGAAACATCACTTAAAGATTTTATTTTAAAAAAGAAAACAAAAAGCACTATATATATTTTAGTGAAGTATTTTTGCTGTGGGAAGAAAGCAAGCAAAGGCATAAGTCTAAAATAATATGTACCCAAAATGCAATAAAATTCCTTACATCTTTAAAAGCAATAGGAATATGACAGACATTGTTACTCCAGGTAACATGCTCATCATTATTTTGGTTTTTGAACAGTGAACCTGTTATAAAAAGGAAGTTGAATAATCACTGGAACAAGGTAGTCAAATATTTACATTTAAATTTACATATCTATAATTTTTATCATGTGTAAATAACTTCAATTGCATATAAAAATGTCTACAACATACAATAAATTGGTGCAATAAAAATTCTAGTGAGTAGAAATTGGTCAATTACAATCATTGAGTACTAATTTTGGTACTCTTACCATACAAATTATCACAGTGAAAATACAACTCTCACTTAATTAAATATGCAAAAGAATGCTCCTTTGCTAGCTTCCCAAACCAATTATTTTCATTAAGCCTATTACTGGGATTGGGCATGGTAGCACACACCTGCAATCTGAGCTACACAGGAGGTATAGGTGAAGGATCGGTCTAAGGTCAGCTTGGGCAAAACCGGCAACACTCTACCTGAAGAATATCTAAAGCAAAGAGAGCCAGTAGTATGGTACAAGTGGTAGAGTGCCTGCCTAGCAAGTACAAGCCCTAAGACAACTTTTGGCTTGGGTAGACAACTCTTGGTGGGACTTTTATTTGTATCTTTGGAACATGAGTGCTATGATGACGTAGGATTTAGGGAGGGCAGATTTCCTAAAGGTTTTCTCCAAATACAGAAATTTGTCAAATGTTCATATAAGAAGTAGTTTTAATCATCAAAGGCGTGGTGGTACACATGCTGTAATTCCAGCACTGATCTGAAGCAGGATGTTAAGTTCAGGATCAGTCGGGTACCCAGCAAGGTCTATGAGAATACATGGAATCAGGCCCATGTAAATGTTTAAGAATGTATTTTTAAAAACTTGTGAGGACAGGTGTGGTGATATCTGCTTGGAATCTCAGCACTTGGGAGGCTTGAGATAGGAGGTTCATGAAGTTAAGGCCAGCCTGGGATATCTAGGGATATCCCTATCTCTAAAATCAAACCCCAAACTTGTAAGAAAGCATAGAAGATGATAAAAGGTAATGAAACCCTACAAGTAGTCTAAGACACACAAATACTACTTTCTTAAATAAATGTCCAGGTAGAAAAGGCCAAGTGTATCATTCAGCAATAGGGATGCATTCTGAGAAATGTATCCTTAGGCAAACATCACTGTGCTTACAGAAACTTAAATGGTTTAATAAGCGTCACTCCATGCGGCCTTTTGGTGCAGTGAAGAGATGAGGTAAACATGATACATGCAGCTGCTGCTGAGATATCACCACATACTCTTTTACAGCAAACTTGCTTCTGATCAGTAGGAATATATTTTAAAAATAATGACAGAGTAAATTCATAAGCCAGTAACAGACATTTATTGTCATCACCAAGTGTTATGCACTGTGCATGGTTCTATGTGCTATACTTTCATGACTGGCAATGAAGTTTGTTTTCACCAGCATCACTGCAATCACATGGCATTGTGTTGTTCTATGATGTCCCAGTGGCTTCACTAGACAACAGGAACTCCTGAGTGCCACTGTAACCTTACGGGATCACCCTGGTATATACATGGGCCATTGCTGAATGGAGCATCACTGTGCAGTACATGACTATGCTTAAGAACAGGTAAAACACTAGGAGTAGGTGAAGACATAAAAGTTTTCAACTATGAAATTCTAGCACAAACAAACTCAAAACTGAATGGTTTCTGCAGACAGGATTGTCCATGTTACTATCTCCTCCATGGAAACCTAATTAAATTGAAATTTAAATAAAAACCAAATCGTAACATCTAGAAAATCCTTTCATGACTGTTACCCTTCAATTACCTTTTATACACTATTTTGGTATTTTATAGATGTCATTTGGCTGAATTCTCATATCCAAAATGCATATTTCTCTAATTAAAATGTCTTAAGTTTCTACATAAATGAAATGTATTTTATTTTCATTTTTATATAAAGGACTATATTCCAAGCTGGCTAAATGAACAAGGGCTGAGTGTAGAATGACCAAAGTATTCAGAGAAAGCAGCCAGGAGAGTGTTGTTCAGAAAAAGGTTTTGAAAAGGTTCAGTTTGATGGCAGAGTCTCCAGAGTGAAGGATTTGAATGCCAGCTTACAAACAATGAGAAGCTACTGGAGCAGCAGAAAAGTAACAAGAGGAAAATAGTACTTTAGGAACACTATTTTCAGAACTGGGTGAGGACCATGCTGTAGGAAGGCAGACCAAAGGTAAGGAGATAAAGAGATTATAGGAATAGTGCCTGAAAGAAGTTTGGACTGAAGGACTTGCAAAGGAAGTGAGAAACAAAACAAAAGCCTTAAGAGCCTGAGAAAATGAAAGTAGAAAGAATGAAGAATCTAAGCTGCCTCTGAGGTTTCAGGACTAAGTAACTTGGGAAAGGAAAATGAAAGCAGGGTCTAATTTGGAATAGAAGGTGATGGGGCAGCTTGACACGCTGTCCTAAGATTTCATAAGGACCTAACTCGGGAGGTATAGAGAGAAATGAGCACTAGAAATAGATTTGACAAAGTTATGACCTAGTATTATCAGTTCACTACTAAAAGGATGTTGAGACAGAGCAGGTGAAGGATCACATCTTACCCTGAAGTGCTCTCTCGAGACACAATGCAAGTAGGCAGCATCCTTGAAGAAGGGATGACAGGAAGATAAGGGAAAATACAAATGTCACAGAGAAGCTAAAAGCAAGAGGAATAAGAACACAGTCTCAGATTTAATTAAAAGAGAATGGCTTACACTACAAATGCAGCCTTAGAAATTACAGGGTATTTAGGGGGAAATGAATATTAAAGAATTACAAAGTAAAGTCTAGGAATGGAAAAAGGCAAGATTGTAGTGGAAGAGTTTCAAGAACAGAAACTAAGCCATAAATTTTTTTCTTCAAGGAGACAGCTTCTTTAAAAGTTTACTTAGATATAAAAAATACACATTGTTACAGACTTTTTGTTACTGATTTTTCAGCACAAATAAAATCATTCTTAGTGTATACAAACATATGCCCTAATTCATGATTCAGCAGCAGCATATCCTATCCCTTAAAAGCTTCATACTCTTGAGAAGCAAAGTTCTAAAAGATGTTTTTAACAATCTCCCTTGAGAAGAAAGAAATTACACACAAAAAAAAATCCCTTTTAATTTTATTTACTACAAATAAATATAAACATAATTTTATTTTTGGTGCTGGGGACTGAACACAGGTCCTCCACGGAGCTGTATTCCTAACCCCTCAAACAACCTGTTTAATGGCATGTCTTAAAGAGATAAAACTGTTAACTGCTGAAACTTGCAAAACAATAGATTACTAGTTTAAATAAGTCATTATCATAATGAAAAGAAATTCATTACCATGAAATCTAGTAAGCAGCTTTAAAGAAGCTTTTAGTCCATTTGTTGAAGTAATGACACTTAAGTTAGGGAGATAAAAAAATCACTTGTCTACTGTTGTGAAAATAACAGCTAGTGCCTTTGTATTTCATAGATTAAAATTAGGAGCGAATTCAAACTAGAGAATGCTGATTCCATTTTTTACATATATATACATTATATATATATTTAATCCTATGCTGGGGACCAAACTCAGGGTCTCAACACATGCTACACAAACGATCTACCATTTTTAAAGATACTTTTTGAGTTAGCAGAGAGTTGAAATGTTTTCTTAAAGGAATGGTAGAGCTATAATAAAGGCTACAATCCTAAAAAAGAAACAAATTATTTTAAAGTTGAACATGATATGTAAGAAAAGAGTGAAAAAGTGTGATCATTCATCTAGGATACATCATTAGAGAAAAAGAAACAAAATGGAGTGATATTCTTTACTTTTACCACATGGGAGTAGTACAGTAATCATGTCTGCACACCTCTAAACAGATGATAGACCAACATTTTCTCATGCACTCATCCACTGATTCCTAAGGAAAATTCTTGTTTGTTTTCCATAAAGGAACCAGGCTCAGAAAGGTTAAGTAATTTGCTCTAAATATCCAGAGCTGATTTTGAGATCCATGTGGGTTTCCAATACTTGGACTAGGGCTCTTTCTACCACATAGTGGTCACCACAAAAAGGAGTCATGGATAAGGCCCCGATGGCAAAATACACAACCTGGATGAGACAGAAGCAATAGCTGCTAAAGGAAACTAAACAGGTTCCTTGTAAACTTTAAGGTGCTAAGTTACAAGAGACTTCTCAGACTACTTTATTAGTAATCTTAAAATGTTTCCAGAATATTATTTATTCTTCTAACCTAAAGGCTCTGTATTTTTTCTACTGATATGTTTTTATTAATGACAACTCTGAAAGCAAGAACCAGTACAGAAAAGTTCCGGCTATCCTTGGAACTTAAGCATAAACACTGTTGGTATAAATTAAAACATTTTAAATAAATTACCTGTATAATTCTTTAGTTAGATTCAATCTGATTCCCAAGAGAGTTAAGTACACTCTATAAGGGTTTTACTTATTAACTTGAATCACACATAGAATAACAAAGCAAAACAAACAGTTCTATCTCCTGACACTCTTCACCCCACCCCATAAAAAACAATGAAAAATATTCCACTAAGGTAATTTGAAAAGAATCATACTAACACATAAAAAATAAACAAACACAAGTCAGTCACAAGACAGTAAAAGTCCATAGATGGACCAGTATAAACCTACTCAATAGTCATACATAGAAAACACTCCCAGTTACAAAAGTCTTCTTTAATTTAGTTAAAAACACTCTTCAAACTAGAACGCAGTTTTACAAAGCTCCAAAGATCATATTACATAGTTACTAATAAACCTTTATTTCCTTATTTAAAAGTGTTATACTTACATCTAATAAGGAAAAAAATCCTAGAAATTATTTTAATAGAACATGATACAATTAATTAAAGTAGAAGTTTGAGTGGTGCAAAGTGGCTTGAGACAGAGACAATCAATAGAATGAATCACAAAATATATTATATATTGTTATCTTCCAGTCTCTGCTTCTCATCTTGTCCCACCTGTCCGAGGTGAGATAAAAGTTTACTATATGCTTCCCTGTTTAAGAGAAAAGAAAGCAAATGTATTTATTATATTTTATATTTTTTTACTTAAGTATTTACAAATTAAGGCTGCCTAATTTTTCTGTCAATCCATCCATTACTCACCTAGCTAAGGATTTAACACAATACTTAAAAAAATAATGTTTTGTATATATTGTGAGCAAACTCAGATATTAGGATTTACTCAGGCATTTTAGTTGATTTATATATATATATAAAATAATAGGTTAAAATAACATTTAAAAGTTTATTAATAATCTGTAAAGTATCTTCACAGAATACTGCTTAAGGACAATAATGGTATGATTACAGAAGACTTGTGTTATGAACTAAGTATGAAAACAAATTTTACAACCATAAAACAGATTAGTGCAACAGTATTAGTATATATCTTGTTTTCTTTATCTTAGAAGACTGAAAATAAAATACTATTTTTCCTGTTTGATTGTCTAGTACTGTCTCTGTGCTAGGGATTTTTAAAATTAATTAACTACTTAACTTATTTTAGTTACTTCATTAGTCTGTGCTATTCAGAATCTTGAAGATCAGTCCTCTTGTGGACATTCCTGGTCACACAAAGTCGAATATTAACAGAATAGCTGTCCCAACACCACACTATGTTAGGTTCATGCAGGGTCTCTCCGATATTCTGACATTAAAACTGCTCAGAAGCCAGATGTTATCCAGGTCTTTGCATGAACTTGTTTTATGACATGACAGTAAGCATCTTTTCTTCAAAGCAATGATCTGAACTAATCCAATCTTTTCTCTCTAGAAAACTCTAAGAGGCTAGACATTCGACTCTAACCTGGAAAAACTATAAAGGGTAGTTTGTGCTTTTAAAAAACTTTACTTTCATTACACTGAAAAGATGGATCCCATTAGTTAGCTAAAGTTATAATCAGTCTAGTCAGTCTCTAAGAAAAATCTGAAGTATGACATTATACAAACATTTTCAACTTAAAATTGGAATATGTATATATTCATTACATTGTGTACGTGTATATACACAGACATACCTGTGATGTGAAATATTTGATTCATTAACAAACTTTCAGACATACAAATCTTAATGTCAGTACTGACTTCTCTAAAATTATCTCTTTAGGAACTTGAGGCTTATTCTTACAATGCTGTATTGCTCTAAATAGCCAGCACTACTTTGGGTTTGGCTATCAGCTTGTAAGAAAAAAGTCTTAGTACCTATCTTTGATCAAAACTCATTATCTAATTGGGTCACTTACCTTATTCATTAGCTACTCATGATATAGATCAATAAATCAAGCAATCCTCAAAGGATTATAATTTGCAACTATGGATTTTATAAACGACAAGACACTTGAGGCTCTAGTCTACTGCTCAATGAATATGTTTTGACAAATACCAGCAATACTGAAATACACGGCTCTTTAAGGTGGTCATTTTAAAAGGAACAATGTGGAAACCAATGTGTGAATTCTGCTAAGTTTGTTGATAAACCATGTTACTTTCTAATAATATTTTCCAAAACTGAAAGTAATCACAGTATTGGAACATTTTTCAACTCAAAGGAACACACTCCAAACTTTGGAGAATGGGAAAATAAGCCATTTTATAAATGAAATGTATATAATAGTTGCCCAAAAGAACATATTTAAATTATCAAACATACCTTTGTGCAATATTTCTGCCAAGGCCCCATTTCAGCTCTGAATCTTTCAGAGATTGAGTGAGGACAGAAATCAGATGGATGACAACCTGCTGGTTCTGTGTTGCTACTGTCTCTAAAATGCTATAAACTTGGTAACTGTAGGTCATACCATAATCCTGGATAAACTGCCTGAAAGTAAAATAGGTACTTTGAGAATCTGGGGCAATTCCTGGGGTTGCTATTTATATTGTAATTGGTATTACCTGAACACATGAAAGACCATCTCATGTAAGACTCCACAAGAAACTTAATGCATTATAAAGACTTCTGGTGACACATTTTTTATTGGTGGTTATTTGCTTTTAGACAGGATTTCACTTTATGTAGCCCAGGCTGGCCTGGAATTCATTTCTGTTTCAGCCTCCTGAGTGCTAGGATTATAGACATGCACCACCACACCTGGTTTGGTAACACTTTAAAACAGAAATAAGAAATGCCTTATTTCAGTGTAAGCCAAGACCAGAGTGAGGGGGTAAGAGAGAAGATTTGGAGTCCCAGGAGGGAGAACTAAGGTGGGGGAGGAAGCTAATTCCAGTAGCTTTTTTACTTGAAAATCAGGTTGGAAGAATGTGAAAGGCACCAAGAAGGGGGGCAAAAGTCAGATTTCCAGTTATTTTTAGCCTATCATATCTCTAAATTAATAAAACAATATACCCCAAGGAAAGCAAGTTATTTATAATATATCTTTATGTTCTTTAAATAAACAACAGATTTTATAACCACAGAAAACTTTTACAGAAAAATGAACATTTTAACTTTAAAATTTCCACCCTCCCATCAATGAAATAAAAGCTATTTAGCTTAATAAATTCTGGATAACATCCAATCTTTTCTCTCCTCCTAGGGTTTCACAATTTTCACAAATCAACTATTATCAAGTGATCACAGTTTAAAACCACTATTAATGACAGATGAGTGCCAATTATATGATGAAACAACAACAACAACAAATCGAAACTAAGGAATCAGAGATTGAACATACAATGAAGGAACTGGACCCCAAATGATTTATCAAGGTAGAGGCACACATAATAAAAGTAAACTGGTAGAAACCTTGAGAAAGAATCCCAACAGAAAGCACAAGACTCTAAAGAGGGCAAAGCATGACTGGGGAGGAGGGGAAAGAATCTCAAATGACATTGCTATTTTTGTAAACAGGATCTATTCCTAGAGAGTTCATGCTTCAAAAATTAAACATAAGGGAGCTTTCTGAAGCCCCAGTATATAAAGCAAGTCACATGCCCTTGTACACTGGATTCTGAGCAGCATGTTTAAGTCCTGGGCACCTGTCGCCATGATTCTTGTTTTCCACGTTTTCCTCCTGAATACATTCAAGATTCTTCCTTACAAAATCTTAAGTAATTTCAAGTCAGTTTATTTATCTTTTCCCGGGCACTTTTATTTTTCAATAAAACAACACAATGTAACAAAAACTACTGCCAAAAATACAGTAATTGAAATACTACAAACAAGTAGTAACACATTATGTTTCGGATAATTAGTTATTTAAAAAACATGTTGGCTGTCAAATGGCTGGCAATAGTCTCTTTGCCAGTTGGCATGTTTTCTACTTACCTAAACACAGAAGTCAGCTGGGCAGCAGGTTCTCCTTCTGACCCCACTTGGCAGGTTTTAACCATGTATTGCAGGTTCTCTGTGGCCAGCTTCTTAACTAGGAAGAAAAATTATAGCATTACACACTGTGTCCAACCATCTGGATCCTCATTCTTAACACTCTTGGTTTAGAAAAATATGTTGTTTCCTTGAAGTATATACATGCTTTTTGTTAATTTTCAAAATGAAATAGTTATGATTTTTGTTTTGTTGTAAAAAATACCTAAAAAGTTGAAAAAGTCTATTTTTGAGTCTTAAGACTGAAATAATACGTGTGAAAGTATGTCTCTTAGAAAGGTGCCCATATTCAAAAATACTTCCCCATCCTAATCCAGCACACAAGGCAAAAGAAAGCTTTAAAATTTACAATTTGCAGATAGGGAGATTGGTTTTTAAAATTCAAAAGCATATTCTTCATATTCCCTCACAAATATAACAAACCAGATGCCACCAACAATTTATCTTCACTTAAAATTAGCCAAACATATATAAAAGTATTTGTGATGCTATCTTCTTTCCAAAAGAGCACAGAAGCTAGGCATGGTAGTCTACACCTGAAGTCTTGGCACCCGAGGGTGAAGGCAGGAAGATCACAAACTTGAAGCCAGCCTGGATTACATAGTGAGACCCAGTATCCAACAAAATAAATAAACAAATAAAGTAAAATGTAAAAAGAGCATTTATGTTCTTTAAATATTTAACCAAATCCTTTTAAATTGTGTGCCTGTACATAAATATAGCACAAAAATATTGCTATAGCTTGGATCTGAAATGTCCCCAGCCCTTGTTGTTACGGGGAGGTTGTGGAACCTCTAATATGTGGGGCCTAATGGAGGAGGTTAGGTCATTGGGTATGTCCTTGTAGAGGACAAAGGGACCAGGGTCCCTTCCTCTTCCTCTCTTTGCTTCCACTGCCATAAGCTCCACATGTCTCTACCATGATGTACATGTACATCACAAAAGACCTAAAAGCAATGGGACTAACCAATTGTGAAACACTGAAAACAGAAACATTTAAAACTGTGAGTCAAAACAAACCTCTTCTCTTTTTAAGTTGATTATCTCAGGTATTTTGTTACAGGAATGCAAAGCTGGCTAACTAGATATCAAGAGTGAGGGCTGGAGGCATGGCTCAAGAGGTAGAGTGTCTGCCTAGCAAGCATGAAGCCCCGAGTACAAACTTCAGTCCTGCCCCCAATAAAAAAACTCAAAAAAAAAAATGAATATAGAAAATACAACATGTCCTTAATGATACAAAATTCTTTTTTTCCATTTTTATTAGGAAATATTCATCGTACAGCGGGGATTCATTGTGACAATTCTGAATAGGCTTACATTGTAGGTTGGTTAGATTGCCCTCACCCATACAAAATTCTTGTTCCAATGTTTTTGGCACATTAAATGTAAGTATCCAGGGAGAATAAAAGTGTTTTCTTTCTGGATGCTGGTGACTTGTACTTGTTGTTTTAGCTACGTGGGAAGCTGATATTGGGAGGACTGCAGTTCAAGGTGGGGAAAAAGTTAGCAAAACCCCATCTCAACCAATAGCTGGGTATAGCATCCCATGCTGCATGGGAAACTGAAATAGGGAGGATTGTGGTTCCAGGCCAGCAAGATTCCATCTCAATGGAAAAAGAGAGACCTCCATCTCCAAAATAACTGGAACAAAAAAGGGCTGGAGGCATGGCTCAAGTGGTAGAGACCCTGCCTCACAAGTGTGAACCCATGAGCTCAAACCACATGAACTGGCCCCCCACCAAAGTGTTTTTTCCAAGAATAAGAAAAATTTCAGAAACAGTAATCCATTATAACAGGAATATAACATATATGATTAACATAAATTAAGTAGTAAATAATGTTTTTGTGGCATAGTGGATAAAGAACATGTAGCATATTGCTGTGCAAAGTCTAAGAGATAGACCTACAGCTGGTATGGTGGCCCATGTCTGTCATCTCAGCTATTAAGAAGGCTGAGGTATGTTCAAGGCTAGCCCAGGATAGGTATCAAGCTTGAGGCTGGCGTGGTCAAATTAGCAAGACCCAATCTCAAAATAAAAATTAAAAATGGCTGGGGATATAATTCAGTGGTACAGTGCCTGCCTAGCATGCACAAAGCCCTAGGTTCAATCCCTAGCATCACATACACACAAAAAAGTATATGTAAAAAGTACTAGAACATGAAGACATAGCTGTCACAGAGTATTAAGATTAAGCATTGCTTTTTAAAGAACAGCTTTGTTGAGATATAATTTGCATGGTAAAAATCCTTTAGCTGGACATGATGCCTCAAACCTATAATCAGTTAGGATTTAAGGTCAACCTGCTCAAAAAGTTAGTGAGACCTGATTTCAACAAATAAGACAGGAGTAATGGTATACTCCTGTGATCCCAGCTAGGTGGGAGACATAGATAGGAATACTGCAGTCCAGTGCCAGCTAAGGCAAAAAAAAAAAAAAAAAAGTGAGACTTTATTTGAAAAATAAATGAAGCAAAAAAGGCCTGAGAGTGTTGCTTAAAGTTGCCTTGCAAGTATGAAGCCCTGAGTTCAAACAACCCCCAAAATTCCTTCACAGTGTAAAATTCAGTGAACTTTTAGAATACTCAGAGCTGTGATATCATCACCACTATCTAATTTCAGAACATTTTCATCACGCTTGAAAAAAGCCTTATACCCTTTTTATTAGCAGTCATTCACTATTTCTTCTCTCCACTAGTCCCCGATAGTCACTAATCTACTTTCTGTCTGTATGGATTTGCTTGTTCTGGGAATCTCAATGAAATGGAAGCATACAATGTACTTTTCTGTGACTGCTTTCTTTTACTTTGCATAATGTTTTAAAGTTTATCCACACTGTACCATGTATCAGTAGTTCATTCCTTTATATGGATGGGTAATACTCCAATGTATAGATTACATATTGTTTAATCATTCATTAGTTGATGGACAATTTGATTATTTCCCTTTCTTGGCTATTATCAATAAATAATGCAGCTATGAACATTTATGTATAGGAAAAAAATCTGACAACTTTGTTTCTTTAACTAAAAGACTTAAAAAAAAACTGGGTAATCTTGTTTATTTTTTAAATTAACATCTTTCTTGTCATATAGTTCATGTACAGTTCAATGGTTTTTAGTATTTTCAGAGTTGTGTAGTCATCATCACAGTCAATTTTAGAATATTTTCATTATCTCAAAAAGGAACTATACCCTGTAGCTATCACCTGACTTCCCATAAGAAACCACTGATCTACTTTCTGCCTCTAAAGGATGATATGTGAGATTTCAGAGTGGCACACAAAACTTAAGAACTGTGTATTTCTGGAATTTTCCATTTAATATTTTTAGACCATGTTGACACCTAGTAACTGAAACCATGGAAAGCACCTGTGGATAAAGTGCAACCGCTGTGTTCGCTTTGCAAGCGAAGTTTGTATCGCACAGTGCTACAGGTTTTGCTGAAGTTCAATGTATTTAAAAGTTTCAATGAGGGCAAAATTTCTAAAGAATATGGGAGCCACCACTGGATATTCTCCAGTGATAACTTTATGTTCCCATAAAATAAGTATATTTAATGTAACACAACATTTTTTTTTTCCAAATCCAGGGTTGGAATAGAGAGAACCATTTTAAATACTGAAATAAACATGGATTAAAAATATGCATTTTTTTTTTTTTGGCTAAAACAGAATGGTTTCAAAGTGTTGTATGAGCTATCCACTACCACTTTGGGCACTGTCCTCAGATTCTTCAGGGTATGCACTATACTCATTTATCTTAGCAGTTAAAAGTACTTAGGTAGAAACATTTGAAACACTCTAACTTGAGTAATTACATAATAATGATAAACACACACACACCACCATATTTACGTTAAAAATTCCCACAGGAGAGAACTATGACTACTATTCTGCATATTCCCAATAAACTTATTAAAGCATGTTCATATTTCAAAGCCATCACTGGAAGTAAGACTGATAAGACTGAAAACAAAAGGCTAGAATCAAAGAATCCTTACAAGTTTCCCCAAAGCAGCTAAGATACTGTAGCAGAAACTTGACCCCTGACCACTTGATAGTTCACAAAATTTTATTAATACTAGAACTAGATGGAACAAACATGTTTTCAGAGGGCAACAAATCCAATCAAAGAAAGTAGTCCTTAAATAAACTATTTGCCTCAAAGGAAAAAAACAAACCAAAACTAAAACAGACAGAAGCATGTGAATTTTTATCCATTTTATTACACCTAACCCCAGCTACTGTTTGGTGTTTATTCTTAGCCATGATATACACCAACGGATAGAAAAATAACCCCTACCTTTTGTAACTATCAGTTTAATTGATGGGAAAGAATAATTTCTTAACATGTAAACAGAAAATGAAGACAAAAAAAAGTTGACAAACAATCTAACCTTGGGGTTCACTGACCAACACCAAACATTTTAAGATGCCAGGGAGGAGGAGGAGTTCAACCTCACAAACATCTCTCTTAGTTTCTTTGAAGAGCTGGAGGATGAAGGCCAACGTGGATGCTAAGCGAGGAGGGGGTGAGGACCCTTTAAATTCAAAGTAGGATTTCCTGAAAAGGAGCAAAAAAATTTCTTTTCTTCTGTTTAAAGCTTCAATAGAACAGAAGCAAATACCATGTACTTAAAGCTAGTGGCAAAACTTACCAAATTAACGAAAAGCAGCTTAAAAAAAGTATATAATTTTACCATGCTATCTTCAAACATAAGATTTTAGAAGCAATGAGTATACATCCTTTTGGTGTGCTGTAAGGCCCAAAATGTAATACAGACCTGAACTAAATTTAAAGCAACCTGATTTGGAAATGAATTTAGTCAAGCCTAATTGTTAATTTGTCTTTTCCCCTTTCTAATATAAGTCTGATCTCCATTATCAGCTCCTCAATGCTTCAACATCTTCTCTAAGGTCAAATTTGCATAAATAAATCTCTCTTTACATTTATTTATTTACAATTTTGGAGGAGGTCTTATGTTTCAAAATAAATAAAAGGGCTATGCTAGGGTTTAGTTTCCAGTTCCAGCTTTACCTCTTTCAGTAAGTAAAAGAATGAGAGAACTTACTTAGAATTTAATACCATCTCTCAGGACAAGATAACTTTAAATTTATAACAACAGAGATTGTAAAGACAGTAATTTATCTGACTTATATTTGTATCCTCACTTCTCAGAACAGGTCCTACCTAGCTAACAGCAGGTGTTCAGTGTATATTTGTTCAGTGAATGAATGAAAGTGAGAATTACTCAGTTTGTTTAAAAAGCCACAAGAATACAAAAACTTGTCACATACTATGAAATCTAACCCTCACTGAATTTTAATTCAGTGAGGAAACTCAAGACCTGGTACATGCTAGGCAAATGCACTACAACTGAGATGCATCACCAGTCCTAAATACTACCAAATCTAAACTACATACCATAAATATTTGAAAACTAATAACTTATCATAATGAGACATAGAAATCAGTAAGCATTATAAACTCGTTTGAGGGCAGGAACTATGTTTTAATAACACTTTCTATTGTATATAGTGACTTCCAATAAATATTTCATATTAGATTTATTCATTCTTTGAGTACAGGGTTTGGTCTGTTTTGTTCATTACTGAATTACTAATGAGCAGAACAAACATTTATTTGATAACTATTATGGGCCAGGCATATAAGTCTAAGAACAGGCATATAAAATTAAGTTAAAATCATGGACTTGCCATTCAGTGGAAAAGTAAACACAAGACAAAAAAGACAATTATAATATAGTATGTCTCAGGTGCTTTGACAGAGATAAACACAGAATTCTTAGGAATTCAGAGGAAGAAGCTCTAACTCAAATAGGAGACTGCAGAGTAGAAAAGTATAGAATGGAGGAAGTCATAGGGGGCAAATCTGCATATCTTCCCCAAGTATTAAAGAAACAAAAAAACAAAGAAGCCAAAACTGAAAACCAGGACTTACTACAATTTTAGATCTCCACCTAGAAATTCTGCAAAAAAAGTTTTACTAGATATTAAGTAAGAAAGTCAACTAATGCAGGTAGAAACCTAAACCAGGTACTGAAAGCAGTTTTATGGATTTAATTTCACTTCAGCTTTTGCCATTTGGTTGATACTAAGATCACTTAGATAGGATGATTACTATCATCAGATACATGGAAGGCACTGAATCTATCAGTCAAGTCAAACAGGGCATATGACTTCAAAAAGGAAAGAGCCGTCATGGCACAATGAGATATTAGGTGTAGGTTTCATAAAGGAGAGGTGGGATTCAGCCCAGAGGAATGACATTTTAATGAATAAAATGGTAGGAACAAAGCTGTGATATAGAGAAGTATAAAGCATTTTGGAGGGGCAATAACTAAACCAATCTCATTAGGGTTAGTGTATGACACCACATTTAATACACCTGGAAAAGTTAAGTGACAAATTGTAGATAATTAAAGAGTAGAGTTTATTATACAGGAGAAAAGAAGCAAATGAAGGTTTGGAAGCAAAAAAATGTCAAAACAGAATAGTACTTTAGAAAAGTGGCCTGAGGCACTTTTTAAAGGCTGGACTAAAAGAAAAGACTAGATAGAGTGTGCATGGTTAGGACACTTTGGCAACAGTCTAGGTGAAATGTGGTAAGGGGAGAGAAATGTTATTAAATACATTTTTAGGTGAGTTTTAAAAATCATATTTAAACCAAAGTTCAGCATGTCATCAAGCAGAAAGATAAAAAGCAAAAAGAAAGAAGGGAAGCATGGATTTGAACAAAAAATATAAAGCTTCCAAACCCGAGTAACAGGACTCTAGTAGCATGAAAAGAAGGCCTAAAAGAAAGACAGAATTTAGGTATGAAACTCTGTAATGTCAGAGTGGATATTGCTGGGTCATTAAAAAAATGAAGAAACTTAATACTAGATAATAATAATACATACCACCATAGTATATTGAAGCTTAAAAACTAATTTCATATAAAGCTAAATATTACATGAAGATAAGGAAAAGATAAAATTCTATAACTGAATCTTCTAATGCTGTGGTTAAAGAATATAAAGTTGAATAAAAAGTCTAAGAACTTTCATTTATTCACTCAATTAATAATAAAAATTGAGTTAAGATGAATAGTAAACTAGTAAAACAAGACTTCAAAATGCTACCTTTTGTTTATAAGCATTCATCTTTTTCAGTGTTATCATTTATAAAACAGTTATTTTATATAGTACAAAGTACAATTACTGTTCATGTGATGGAAAACTAAAAAGCAAAAATATATCTTTAGGAGTATGTGTATAAGGAAAATAACAGCTACATAGAGGAAACAGAAGCAATTTAAAAACTACTGTCTTAGGCTGTCATGAGCAAATAAATATATTTAATAAATTCTTAATGTTTCTCAGGAAAAGTTTCTAAACTACCAGTATCCTAATGGTTGTCAGTGTTTGAGATGCTGTTACTTTTTAATAGAGATGAATAATTTGTACATACACCTCTTCTTAATAGTTAGATATACCTTATGACTTGTACAATGTGTTTCTTGAGAGATGATATCGGTGGGACAGTGGCTGAGTTTCTCAGTGCCAACAATACAGGATGATGTCCAAGTCCTACAACACATGGTGAAGCTGGAAGAAACCGTCCAATATACTGCTCAATAACATTCCCTAGCAATTGATTCAAATAGGCACTTGGATTTTGAGACTGACAGCATACGACACACATGCCCTACAGGAAAAACAAAAATAAAAACAGAAAAAACAAACAAACAAAAAAAAGAATAAGATCAAGAAGAAAATACTAAGAGATGAAATTTCAAAAACAATATTTAGGAACTTGTTAAGATAGTCCCCAGCATTAATATTAATGCTAGAATTTGTAACTTAGCACAATCAGAAAGGAAATCTGACATCATCAACAGATAATACACACATGAATGTTCAGGAGTTGAGTTTGGGTACTGCACATGTATCTAACCAAGCATGTGCGTTTTAGGGGTATGGAAAAGAGAGGGGAAATTTGCAGGAAGAAAATGGGAGTTTCTTTATTCTTCTCATCTCAGAAAACCTGATCTCTATGATTATTTAATACATACCCAGACAATTACAAGGTTATTAAATACATTTTTAGGTGAGGATTTTTATAGTATTTAAATCAAAGTTCAGTATGTCATCAAGCAGGAAGATAAAGAGTAGAAGCAGAGCTTGGAGTGCCAATCTTACAGAGGAGTAGATGGGTGTAAGAGAATTTTCCCTGGTCACTTTGTCTAAGAGTATAAAACTTATGCTAAATTTTTTTCTACATTATAAAATGTGGAAATTAAAAATAATTAATGGAAGAGAAATATGAAGCTTAAGATTCAGAATAACTTTAGGGTATTTTGTTTTTTTGGGTCAAGCATTAAATGCTTTTATGCTCATTATTTCATTAAAATTTCTTAAAACATCATTGAATTATTATTGTATCCATTTTGCAGCTAGGGAAACTGAAATTTAAGGAAATTAAGAATTATAATTTTATTAGTATAAAGACCACAAGAATTTATAATGTCTTGCTGTATGTCTTGATTTAATCCGTTGCATGTGTATACAATTAACCAAGTACCTTCATATGGATTGCAGCATTTAATACTTACAAATGATTAAACCAATATCCTGAGGGGCAGTATTATGTTTGTTAAGTCTCCATCTTAGCTATAAATGGATATTTACCCAATAAGAAACTTTAATATTTTACATGTAATGAAAAATAGCATTGAGCTATTAAAACACTAGCAAATAAGTAATTGGAAAAGACAAAGCAGTGCACCTCACCAACTTGGTTCTAGAGTGTTTTGTTTAAGGAAAGGCACAATAGAAGATGATAAAGTAACAAATGAAAATTCTAAAGAGAGCAGGGTACCTTTAAGAAATTAAAGATATAGCTCTATCTTAGTTCTGCCAGACGGACAACTCACCAAAAATTTCCATTTATCACTCATGAAATTTATGAAAATTCCTTCTAAGTAGATTGGTTTTAAGAGGATCACATGTTAAGAAATACTTTATAACTTGCTGCTACCCACAACTCCCTCCCACCATCGGCTCCTCTGTGGGATTAGCACTCCAAGCTCTACCTCTAGTCTCTTTCTGCTAGATGACAGATGAAATTTTTTTTTGGGGGGTAATGGGGTTTAAACTCAGGGCCTAGCACTTGCTAGGCAGGTGGTCTAACACTTGAGCTATTCCTCTAGCGCTAATTGCTTAGGATCTTGTGCTCTCCCTCCAATTCACAGGCCAGCCTTGGATAACAGTCTTCTACCTATGCCTCCTACTTAGCTGGCATCACACACATGTGCCACTATGCCTGGCTTGTTTGATGAGATGGAATCTCACTAACGTTTTGTTGGGCAGGCTGCAAACTGTGATCCTCACATGTAGCTGGGATTACAGAAATGAACTACCATGTCTGGTCCTAAATGACACACTAAACTTGGATTTAAATACTAACATGAATTCAAAAACAGGTAAGTCAATTGAAAACTTCTTGGAAATCTTAAAACTTTATTTTAAAAAAATCCATCTATAAAAGAGATCGCTTGTTACCTAATAAAAAAATCAGTTCCTCTTTCCTCCTTAGCTTTCTTTTGCTCAATCTCAAATTAAAAAGTCTTACATTCAGTATCAGAAACTATTGATGCTTATGTTTTCTCTGCAACAAAATTAGAGATAAGGGCAGAACAGATTCTGCCCAGAAGCGAGTGGGGGTTGGGGGGAGAGGGAGGGGGTGGGGGGTAGGGGGAGAAATGGCCCAAAGAATGTATGCACATGTGAATAAACGAATACAAATAAAATAAAATTTATAAATGTAATTTACCTTCACTGTTGGAAATACAGATAAGCAAAGAGATGAAACAAAACATCTTAGGCAATCCTACCCCCCTAAACAATCACTGTTACTATTTTGGTCTATCTCTCTCAATCCTTTCACTACAAGTATGTTTCTGTCTATATGTTTAACTAAAGATAAAGAGAAATACAAATGTTAAAAAAAAAAAAGGAACTAATGACTGACATCAGTATTTCCAGCTGCCTACTGGACATCATTACTTACACATTCCATATCATTTCAAAATAAAGTTGCTCCCTATCTCCTGCCCCTTTAGCTTTTGTGAGACATGGTCTTGCCATGTAGCCCAGGCTGGCCTCCAACTTGCCATCCTTCTGTCTCAGCCTCCCAAGTGCTAGGATTACAGCCACACACCACCATGCCTGGCTCAAAAACAAATCTGTCTCTCCATCTCTGCTTTTCTAGAGTTTCCCATTTTAGTTAGTAGCACTACTATCTAGAAGGAAATCACTCTGGAGCCTAGAAAGCATTTCATTTCTTTCTATTTCTCCAAAACTCTCTAGTCAAATATTTTAAATCAGAGCTCATTAATGGTTTTGAAAACTGCTGTGTGGGTTCTAATCTCACTGCAGTGGTTAAAAGTCTTCAGATAAGGTGTAGGGTATTTCAATGAATTAGTCATTGCTTTCTAAGTCTCCAATCTAACCTCCATATCAACAAACTTAGACATTGATACCAGAGTCATTTTTCTAAAATATAAACATAATTATGTTACTCTCACTTCTCTGCTCCAAGTCTATCAACACTCCATGTAAAAGATGAGATCCAAACTTCTTAGCATGGGCTTTATAAAGCCCACTATTATACGGCTCTTCCTATATGAATTTCCAGCCACAACAGAATTATTGGTTTTGCCCATTGTACCACAATTTTTTTTTTGAAGTTCCTTGTACATGTTGCTTCTCTGGACATGATTTGCACTCTGACCCCCACCCATTTTGCTCTTTTATACCAAATACCAACTATAGCGTTTTTTCTCACGTCTCCCCGCTCCGGTCTGGTTGACAGATAGTTAAAGTCTCTAAAGAAAACAGCACACTTCCATAAGTGTCTTTGCTAGTCTGCTAGTCTCTCTGTACTTCAAGGCTGAAGAGAAGTTGCCTTTTTCATCTTTGTTTTTAGAGCTAAACCCAAAAAAGAAATTTAAGACTTGTTCACTGGATTTAACACATGTACCCTTGAGATTAGAATGCCTGTTTTTAAAATCTGCATTTAGTAAATAAACTATGTTTAAGGCAAGTTTCCTTTTTTGCTTTTATGCATTCACACTTAGCATACCTGGAGATACAAAGGAAGACTCTTCTGAATTGCAGTCAACATAGGTACAGGTAACTCCTTCTCTTGCTGTAATACTGCATGTGGCAGCAGTAGACAATCTATAATTCTAAATAGTAATTTCTGGGCTTTAGAAGTGGCAAAGATTTGTGCCCATGATTTCACAAGAATTCCTAATAAAGAAGAGAAGTACCATATCATTATCTATCAACAAATGTTTGTTACCCTATGAAGAAAATTATTCTGAAAGTATACAGGATCATGTTAAAATAAGCAATAATAAGAAACATATGCTAGGAGTCAAAAGACTTAATAATGACACATATATTTCATTAATGAGGTATATTTCTCCAGAGTTCTGGGTCAAGAAAAAGAAATTTTCTGAAAAACTGGCACTTATATACACTAGTATACATTTATTTTCTTAATATTTCTATTTATTTTTATCTTATATATGATTTTATAGGCTGTCTAGCTTGCAAAAAGGAAAGGCATAACAAAATTTAATTATTAAGACACCTTGGAGAATTTTAGTTTTTACACCATTCAATTATTTAACATAAATAAACATTTTGATTCTGAAAGAGATACACACTTCTTTACTACTTGATATGTATTATTATTTCCTTTATGAAAAAGTATATCAAATGACACATTTGATGGTAGTATAGCTTAACAAATTAATACCTTTTGTTTATAAAGTAAAAAAGTGCAGATATGTAAATCATTTAGGGTGCATTATTACTATTGAAGTCTCATTTATTGAGAAACAAATTTAAAAAGAGATTAAGTACTTTTCGAAATAGCAGAGTGATATGTCTATTGCATAAACTTTTATATTTTATTTCACCTTAGAAAGCAAAAAACATTCAAAGTCATTTCCTTCAAAGAAAAACTGTGAAATTCAAGCTTAGATGAAAAACAAACATGCCTATAGAATAGTAAGTATACTGATGCCAAACAAACAAACTAATAATCAGTTCTAAGAATAACAAACAGCAGCATTAATCTTCTGTTCTAAAAGGAAGGGCAATAATCAATCATAAACACAATGTTCACTTAGCCATATTTTAAATAATGTTAGCTTGCTCTTTATTTTTTCAGTAGGTGGAAAACTTCAGTTTGACAATATAAGAAGACCTCACATTCTAACTAACACTAACATACATATAAAGGATCTGCCATCACCACCAACATTTGAAATGATTTGTATCACTCTCAAGTGTCACAAAGGTACTCCTTAGAAAGGGTGGAGACTACCAACCAAAAATACCCTTGTATTTCATCTTCAGTAATATTAAAATCCTCTGCTGGAAAGTTTAAGAGTTCATAGAAGGTAAAGGTAATATATTTTACTATTATTTCAGACTTCTACGTTTTAAAGCTTCAGCAAAGAATCTGTGTATGTGCAAGTGTTTGTGTGTGGTATAAAAACTGCAAAGAGGACAGATGATGAAAAAGAAAACTTTTTAAGTAAAAATCTTTAGGAAAAGTTTAAATTCATATACTAACTTTACAAAAAACCAAGTCCTGGTTATGAAAATAGTATTTATTTACTGATAAAACAAATACAGAAAAATGTTAATACAAAGATAAGCTACCCATATAAAGATATCCACTATGGAAGCTGTTGAGTAATTTTTATTTTTTACATACAAAGGGATTGAGACAGATAGGAAGGCCCACCATTCCCTGGGGCCCTGCAGGAGTCTTTCACATGTAGAGAACAGTAAGTTACCTGTTTCTAATTCCTAATGAATAAATGAGCAACACTGTAGCCATGTACTCTATTCCCAGTCTTTGAGACCTAGACAGATGGAAAGAATACAGATCTATATACCACTAACTTAAAAAATCAACAAGACAGCAAACGAAGAAGGCCCTCAGTTCTTCATAAATAAAAATATGCCCATGTCTACATATCATCAGTCTCAATATGTAGTTCCTGATAAGGTTATCATATATTCTGAAATGTAAAGAAAGACACTGCAAAAATCTAAATCTGGAAACATCAGGAAACTTTTTTAGAGACCAAATACATTATAAGCATAAATGCTAAAATATTTACTGATCTAGATTTTACTATGTCAAATTTATAATAAATTCCTACTTAAACTTTTCTCTAAAATTATGATGTCTGAATTGCTACTATTGCTTCACTGTATTCTACATCATCCATATTTACACATTTTCGCATTCTCCTTTATCTTTCACAACAAAGATAAAAGGTTTCAGACAGCCCAAATCAGGCTTATTTATACATTCACAAGATTAAAGGGAATAGATATAAGGTTTTGGCCACAGAGAAATGAAAAAACCAAAACCCTGAAATTCTATATAAAAACTTCTAAGGAAATCTTTCTCATTTACTTTTATCTAGATCCTATTTTTGTTCAATAACATGGTTTTAGTGAACAAAGATATTCAAATTACTGATTTCCTAAAGAAAGATGAACTCAATTGTTATGGAACAAACACAAAAAAAGATTTCTTTTTGAAAAATTAAAACATAATATTGTGAGAAACAAGATTTGCAGTATAAATATCCTTAGTGCTGTATTAAATCCTCTCTTGACCTCTTTTCATATAGAGCAGACAATAAAAAATGAAAGAAGTGATGGTTTTCTGATGCTTCTAATTCTAACAAAGTATAAATAAGCATTAATAGAAGGTTGGTTTTAGGCATTTAGGTATTCACAACATGGCTCACAAAAGACTACTGACAGCAACTGATTTTGGTATATTTTCTGTATTGTTCATTATTAATTTTAATATCCTAAGTACAACAAACACTTCACGGCCTACATGAATTATTTTAAGCTAAATCATGGTATTTCTGATTATTCTTCTGATTCTACTGAGAATAAGTGATTTGGCCAATATGTTTCTATCCACCTGGATACTATAGGTTCAATCATGGAAATGTCTCTAGCAAAATAATGTCATGAATACATACCCATCATCTCATAAGCCAGCCGCAGCCCTGCATTGGAAATTTTTTTTCCCAAATAGGGTTTTATGTATTTTAATACTTCACCAAGGAATTCTAATGACTTGGTTACCATGGCAGATTTATCAGAAAGTGTCTGAAGATTCCTGTAAGTCATACCAACAGCCTATAAATAAAGGAAAACATTATTTAAATTTCCAAGTCTTAGATATGGACTTTGAAAAATAACTTTTCACTCTTTCCATAGATATACCTTATACTTAAGACATTCATCCTTAACTTTCCAATAAATATTCAGAGCAATTAAAATCCAAGTGAAAATAATTAAGTTTTGCCTTTTATAGTTAAAAGTTAAAGAAAGAATAAAAAAAAAAATCCACCACTAGTAATGCATAGAAAGTGTGGCTCAGCAAAGTGATCAGTGAGAAGAAACATAAAACTTGTACAAGAAACTTGTAGTTGAATTACCTAAAGCCTTCCAAACACGTTGGCTCACTATAATTTTATTTTATTTATTTATTTTCTTACTTTGTGGATTTTATTTTTTAATTTTTTTTCTTTCCATTTATTCATTATTCATATGTGCATACATCGTTTGGGCCTTTTCTCCCCCCTTCCCCTCTGCCCCTTCTTCCATCCCCTCCCTCTCCGCTCGCTTCCATGTAGAACCTGTTCTGCCTTCTTCTCCAATTTTGTTGAAGAGAAGACATAAGCAATAATAAGAAAGACATAGCATTTTTTGCAAGTTAAGATAAGGATAGCTATACAGAGAGACTCCTAGCATTGCTTCCATGTACATGTGTATTACAACCCGAATTATAGTGAATGAGTCACTATTATTTTAGTGTATGACTAGAAATCCCTAAATTCAAAACTCCCAAATTCCTACAAAACTTATAATTGTACTAAAGTCTTACAAGTAAAATTTCTATAAAACTCAGCTTTATGATATAAACTGATACCTTCACACCCCAGAATTATCTTTCCGAGTAATCAGTTGTTAGCTTAACTCTCAGCCCAAAAATAAAAACAAAAAGAAAGAAAAATGTGAGAGGTTAAAAAAATGCCAAAATGGTAGTGAACAGAAATGTGTGATGAGGTAGTTAGAAAAAAATAATAAAGAGGGAAGAAGAGGAAGGAGAAATAAATTAAAAATAAACTCAGGAAGGTGAAGGTTAGTTGAAAGGTTAGAAGTCACAAAAAGAATCAAGAGAAAATTGTCTAGAGATGGGTTAGAGAGTTTGTGAGTAACAAAGTTTTCAAATCAATTGAGAACTTACAATGGATTTCAGTGACCTAAATTGGACCACGAATGGTGCAACACAGTTATGTGATCCCCTCCCGCAGCTCTCCATAGATAAAACAAGAGAGAAGCAGGCTGTTGCAATGACCCAAGGTTGAGGGTTAGTAGATGTAAGCAAAACTGAAAGATCGTAAGGGCATTGTTAAGAGTAGTTGAAGTGCAGCTCCAAGGGGCCTAAAAGTGGATAGCAGAAGAAGTATAGCTACTGTACTTAGACAAAAGTTAAGTGGAAGATTGTAATGTGGTCACTCATAAGTTGAAGGTAGGTGTGGTAGTTAAGAATTCAAAGTGAAATGATACCATAATGCAGGGTTTATATGAAGTGGTGACAAGTGAGCAAATGAAGACTATTGAAAGATCATTGGAGAAGCTTTGAAATGAGGACTTAAGGTAGGTGTCTGTGGTGACATGAAAATTGGCCACGTTACTAAGAAAATGTAGAATGAAGAAAAAGAACTCAGCGTACCTACGTGATGAGTGTGAAATGGCAAATGAGGACTAGTGATATACTTGATTACTCCCTTCTTTTCTATTTTGCTTTCTGCCTTTTGTTTTCTACCTTTCTTTTGACTTGATCAGAAGTTTTAACTTTCTGATTTTAGTTCCCTTCACACAGTTAAAAATTGAGGATCTTGATAAGCTTTTTATTATTTAGGTTATATCTATTAATATTTTTCACACTAAAATATTTAAAATTACTTACTAATTCATTTAAAAATAACAATAAATATCAACACAAATGACATAGTTAAGTGAAAAATTGTTTTTTAAAACGAATTAGGGAGAAAAGTGGGTTTTTTTGGTAATACTGGGAGATTGAACTCACAGCCCCTCTCTGGCTAAGCAAACGCTATATCATGTGAGCCATGTCCCCAGTCCAAGAGTAGTATTTAAAAAACATTTTTGCAAATCTCTTTTATGTCTAGCTTAATAGAAGACAGCTAGATTCTCATATTTATTTCTGCATACAATTGTATTATGCTACAGATGAAGAAAATGCAGCCTCATATAACTGGAAGAAATATTTTGAGAGACTTTTTTCCTATAACTGTGAGAATTTCTCATTGTTATTGTACCCAAACTAGGTAAATGTTATTTCTCAGAGGCCAGTTATAACCAACTCATGAAATCTGAAGAATCATGGAATCTAAAATGACACCAACAAACATTTTGTACTCCACTACATTAAGAAGACTGGGTATATGTTTTATTATTTGAATGAATCTTTGCCTATAAATGCTTACTAAAAAGCCTGAATTGGTCATTTGGAAAAATTTGATTTACTGAGTTAGACAGTTTCCCAATGTTGATACATTTCATTACCCAAGTTAGGAAAAAAAATCAATAACCAAAAAAACCTTATGTACTAGGAAGTACTCAAGCTCAGGAAGACAAATTTAAGTTTTCCCAAATTCCAATTTTCTTGAAAGCTTGTGATTATAATATAAAAATTATATTATTATCAACAGATACTGCCAGCTTTCTTTGGAGTGACAGGCTTACTTCCTTCATTTTTGACAAATGTCTGCCAAATAACCAATTCTGAATAACCATATTGTGTCCATTGTTTTTTCAAGATAAAAGCAGTCAGCTTGTGTTGCAACTCAAATAATCACACAAAAATTTTTTTGTTTAGACAACTACATTGCTTTGGCATGCAGCCAATGTTCTATAAATGCACTTTGCATTGTCATTCACAGAATATTAGAAGGACATGTATTTATGGATCAAAATATAATAAAATTAATAATTTTATGGCTTCAATAGAATATTCTTAAGTAAACTGGCTTTTTCCCCCCTTTTGAGGGTATAAAGGTATAAATTAAAATGTATAATAGTGTAATTTTAGGGCATTGTGATGGTTTATGCTAAAGTTTTTGCAGTATTCTACAACTGTCAATATAGTTTTGAGATCCTAGAACCTCCTGACAGGTATCAGTGACTCCCAGAAGTCTATGAACAGTACTTTTGAATATCAGTGCCCTGGGTATCTCCTTAAGTTTAGTTTTAAACCTCTCCAGACTAAAAAAACATGTATTTCTTACTCCTTTGACTATATTTACACATCATACTATTATTTCTTTGCAGAAAAAAAGAGTTAGCCTAACACGGACATCTTTTAAAATGCCTGATTGCAAGGTTGGGCATTGGTTGGTGTTTGGGGCTTCAGATTTTTGGAAGGCTTCTCACCATTCCCTGATAAGAATGGCTGACTATCCCTAAAATATCTGTGAAAACAATACAATTTAGGTTGAATACCTGCTTTCTTTCTGCAAATCTGAAATTCTGCAAGTACAAGACAAATGGGTGGATGTAACCAGCCTCTAATAAATAAAAACCATGGGCACTGAGCTGCTAATGAGCTTCCCTGGTAGACAATATTTCATGTCTTGTCACAACTCTTTGGTGGAAGAATTAACACATCTTGTGTAATTTTACTGGAAAAGGACTCTTGAAAGTACATCTGTCTCTCCAGACTTCACCTTATACACCTTTTCCCTTTGTTGTTTGTGCTGGGTACCCTTTTTCTGTAAAAGGTCACAGCTATAAGTACAACTATATGCTGTGTTCCATGAGTCCTCTTAGTGAGTCACAGAACCTGGAGATGATCTGGAGGATCGCTGACACAACTTCAATCAAAACAAGTTTAAAAGTGAACGCCTTGCCTACTTATCACACACCATAAGCAGAAATTAAAATATCACCACTCATTTAGTTAAACACAGTACTTATTTCAAATCCATTCAGAAGTCATATTCAACCTTTGCTTTGATTCTTTCTAAACTTCACTAGTTTCTGGCCAATAGTTCCCCTGCAGCTTTAATCTACATTATTTTTATTAATTTTCATTAAAAAGTAATATGATCAATAAGACTTACTTAAAAAAAACCTTCGCATTCCTCACAGGATAAATTCTAAATATCTTCTACCAAGAGGATCAGAATTCTCTACCTACTGACTAATCTATCAACAAATTGACACTAAGCATATATTGCCTTATATTATTAGTTTAATCTTTCTGTATGTCTTATATTCTCATACAGATAAAAGTTCTCAGAAATCAAGGACTACCTCTTGTTTTGTAAGTTCCCAAAGAGTCCTGGATAACACTAATATTTAGCAAAATAATCATTTTTTTAGTTATGATAAAATAAAAATTAATTTGGGTTAGATTAAATTAGGGAAGACTTGGTTCAGTCAATAATTAAATAATGTACATGACAGAAATGTGTATTGCATATCTGCATATTACATAACTATTACTAAATATTGTTAGGGATTATAGGAGTGTCTAATTTTCATACAGTTGTACCTTAACTTATGGAGACTAATGGAAGAAATAACATTATGGAAATAGCTTATTGTTTGTAATTATTTTCACGGCAGTCAATACCAACTACTCTGGAAAAATAAAACAACTTTTACTGTGAATAGCTTACAAAAAACACTAATCCAGGCACATTAACAACCTCAGCTAGTTTATAAAATAAACATTATCACACATCTTATATTCCTTTCAAGTTAATAATTAAAAACAAATTTTGAATGATGTTCTTTATTATGGAGAAAAATAAATAAATGGATTAGATTTCAAAGGCCCAATCAAAATACATTGAAGTAGCTGGTGGTCATGCATATGGTGTTTGCTGCACAGGTGGTAAATATTCAGCTGGAACTATTATGGACCCTGTATTAGTAAATTTAGTTCTCAATTGCCTGAAAAACACTGCTATCCAGCAATTTCAGCAATCAGAGATTTTTATAATTTTAGATGGCCTTGGAGCAAAGCTTTTATGTAGTATTCCTTAGTTTTATTATTCTTCATTAAATATAAATTTTCTGCTGTCCTTAAGAGTAAATTGTACTGTACCTTACATTCACATTTTTTTCCTCCAGAATTTTATAATAGCAGACAACTAATAATATAATTCATGTTAAAATAGAAAAACTTTTAAGAACACTTTAAGTTTTTCTGAAAAATAATTATAATTGATCTGGACAATTATATTAATAAATGAAAAATACCTCAAGGAATTGAGCAAGTGCCTTTTTAGGATCTTCTGGGACAGGCAAATATTCAACTTGAGCCTTTGAGAAAATGGTCTTTACTTCTGAGAGTTTAAATAGTAACCTTGTCAGTTCAGTCAACTGTTTCATATACTCTTTTTCTGTTAAAAGAAAATGAATTAAAAATATTTATATTGATGCAAACTCATAAAATATGGAACTTTATATTTTATATAACTTTATATATATACATGTATATCACATGTATGTATATATGAATGCAGGGAATATAGCATTCCTCATTTATGACATGCTTCCTTTTCAAATTCAAATTTCCACAAACTTAAAAACTTCTAATTAAGTTTCTTTCACTTATAACATCCTAGCCCAAAAGTTATTCATGTAAAACAACTGATTTACTATGATATCAGAGACAATTTAGTATATATTTCTCAGGTTAGCCATCATGAAATTTACAGATGACTATAAACAACAGCTATATGGGATATTAAAAAAAAGTACCAGTATCATTTAATAACTAATAGAAAAACAGAAGGCAAAATAGCTAATAAAAATTGGGAAAACATTCATATTTGGATATTTTTTCTTATTTGGGGTGTTCACAGTGGTTATTTACTGCAGCTTTCTACTTTTTTGTGTGATGAGTAAAAAAAGCAGCTTGTTACCCAAAAAGCAAATTTTTATTCTTGGCTTCTAAGGAAATAAGGGAATTTATCATATGTAGTATCAATGAAATATTAAGAAAAAAGAACAAGCTATAAAACTAAATAAGTTTTTGCTTATACTCATACCTAATTATAACATATTTTGTATGTTTTCTTATTTATATAATAAGCAATCTAGAGAATGAAAACTTTCCAACAGATACTTTCCAGGCATGTCCTTTAAAAAATGTATGCAACACTTACTTACCAACTGCCTGTTCAGGATTTGTATCACTGAACAAATCACCAGGCTCAGAGATGTTTTTTACATACATTTGCAAAACACAACGGATCCATGATCTTACAGTTAAAGATTGAAAAGATACGTAGCCTGAACGAGAAAACACTTCACATAATGTGCTGTAAAACAAATTGACGAATATCAAATAAACAAAAATAAAGATGGCAATACATTCTGAGTAAGAAAACATTCTAACATTGCCCATGTACAGTTTTTTGCCTCATTTATTTTTCAGATGAATACCCGAACACAGACATGCATTGCTGAAGATGAACACTACAGATACATACAAAACGATATATAAGATAAATATTCTTGTTTTTGTTTATAATTTTTAACTTTACATTTCCCACTTACAGGCTTATGCCAAAGGAAAGATTAAGGAAGAATATGATTAAAGTAGGAATGGCAAGGCACTTCTAAAATAGTTATGTGACATAACCATGAAGGAAGCAGCAAATAGAAAAAACAAAACTGTGGCCTTTGGAGTAACAAAACAGAGAAGAGTCATGACCATGGGTACAAAACCATCAAAGACAAAACATTTCTACATATGTCTTCTGACCAGCCCCATTCCCACCCACAACCCGCATTCCTACTCCTCCACTCCACAGGCACTCATTATGAAAGATTATCTCACACAGAATTCTAAAATAACACCTTTCAAAAAATAAAAGAAGCAATTCTTTCTAGATGCCAAACGCATGCCTAAATCTGATTTCTAATCTATTTAAACTGGGAATAGTGATGATGTGCATGGTTTTAACCTAAATACGAAGTGTTATGTAGAGCCGAAAAATTATGAAACACATATAAGTCAGAACTCTCAAAATGCTTGTTTGAAATATTGTGAATAGAAGTTGTCATAGAAAAGCACAAAATTCAGAAGAGAACAGATTGGTCATTTATTACCTACACAATATTCTCAAAGCTATTTAACATCTTTGTGTTTCAGCTTCTTCAATCATTACTAAAAAACCAAAATTATTTTAAAAATAAAACTATTTCAAATTTCAACAAGTGTTTATAACTAATGTAAATATTAATTGCTATTATAGAATGTTAATTATTATTACAGAATCTTAACAATTACTAAGCAAGAAGAAATCCTAAAAGCAAGCAAAGTTGAATTCCCTTACTTTATAACTAAAAGTGAAATGAGAAAACTCTTCCTTAGGAAAGAATTATCTTGAGAACCAAGTACATCTCTTTTCATTTTCACTAATAGGTAGCTGAGACAAGAACTACATAGGTCTTTTATCCCTATAAACTGATTTTATTTCTCTTCAAATCTTAATTTCTATTCAAATCTTCCTGACCATTCTATATTATTTGCACTGTAACTTTATTTTATATTTTTATTGAGGTCCTTCAAATCTTTTATGTAATGTGGCAGGAATGACCTATAGTTAAGGAAATCATTGGTCAGGTGAAATGTTTTATTCATGATCTCACAAGAGTTAGATCTTTAAATATCTAGCTATAAAAAAGTTATTATTTAATCTAAAACCATAATAATCTACCAGTGTCTTGCAGATTTAGTAATAAATATACAATTTCTTTCACAATGGGGAGTACAGAAAGTTTACTTCAGAACATAATAAGGCAAGCCTACAAAAAGGGCTTCCCTACCAACATTCACAAAATTTTTTTTTAAAAGTCACATAAATTAGCTTTCCTACTATTACTATTATGAAAATGTTGATATACCTAAAAGTGAAAAATTGTCCAAGTGAGAGTATGTGTAGTGAAGATCAGCTTTCTTTTAAGAAATTCTTACCTTCCTAGGGTACTGATTTATTAAGGCTTGCTTTAATGTGTATGTCTGACATAAAGGCACATACCTATTTTGTAGTAAATGACTTAAATATCTTGCTACAACTTGGGGACAGATGATATCATCCCAACCAAAGAGTTGAATTATTGATATAACTGGCTGAGGCTGAAGATCTGACGGGGCGGTGCTTGGCATGTCCATGGCCAGGAAAGTAAAATCTAGATTTAAAACAAGAGAAACATAAGGTGAGAAAAAATTAAAACCTCTCTCTTCCCAATCATATAAACAGTGACTTAAAGTGTGAACAGTGACTTAATGTTCACATTTAGAAATGTAGAACAAACAAAAAGCTAAAACTGAATTAAATTCATGTTGTCAAGGAAATTTCTGTGGCATTGTTTTGATCTCTAAGAAAGCATCTATTTCAGCATTATCATTATAGATATGGATCCTTCAAACCAAGCTGGAGTTCTGCTAATATGCTTCCATCATTCAAAAACCCGGTTAAAAAATATTTCCAGCTCATATGCTTCTCTCATTAAGCTAATGTTCTTGTCACTTGCCACAGGTGCAGTTTGCTTTCACCTTAGACATCGGACATTCATTGTCTATTAAACAGTTATTTCTCACAATCAATGACTCCCCACTTTTACAGAACCCACAAGAATCGTATGGAGCTATAATTCTTCAGTTAACCATGATCACCAAATACACTTCTTTTGTGATTTCCTAGGAATCCATCAATTCAATTTGTACTATATTAATTTATGCTCATCAATCAACTGTTTATAAAGCACTGCTTCCTTAGCAGCTCTCTCAAATGGTGGCTGTTTACTCTCCATTTAATGAGTGTCATTTAATCAGTGTTTTTAATCCTTACATAAGGTGAGTCTATTTCTTGGTCCACATCACTACTTCTAGAGTGTTACTTTCTTGTGGTGCTGGGGAAAAAACCCAGGCCTTGCACATGTTAGGCAAGGCCTCTGTCACTGAGCTACATCTCCAGCCTAAACTCACAGCTTTGAATCTCATGTATACCATCAGATTATACCAGTCACTAACACTTCTTGTTGCACTTACCTACAATTTCCTTATAGGTTGTAGCTCACTATTATTTTAACAGTAATCCTGTCATAATCCTTGGTGGTTTTTCTTCAGATCTGACCATTTCTGACTACCAGTATCTTGACCTCTCTATTTCTTGGAATTCTTCTCCTCTAATTAATCTATCTATTCTCTATTTTATTTAAACCACTCACTTCCATGGTGATACCCAGAGATCTTGGTATTACCAATAACTACAATCACTCTATAATTTCACTTTTACATACTTCGCTTTTTGAAACCAAACTTGCTTTCCAGCTTTCCTCTTCTAGGGTCCCAACTCTAACAATTATTTGATTACATCAGGCAGGACCTGCAATCTACTGACCTTCTTGGTTTCAGGACACCATATTTACTGTGTTTTCTTTTTGTCTGCATTCCCTTTTAGTAACCTTTCTTGTTTCTCTTTAACCTACAAAGCTCAACATGGAAATACACTATGGACCGGTCCTCAAACTTCTTTTTTGCTCAGATTTATACTACAGGTGTTTAAAGAGTATCCATATATGGATAGTTTCTAAACTTAATCTCTAGTTTAGACCTATTCCTAGAAGCCTAGGCTTATTATATAACTTCCTGCTTAACGTATCTATTTGGATTTTAAGGTACATCTTAAAAAATGTCCAACATTTAAAATCTTAGTTTTCTATTATAAAATATGATGTCTAGTTACTCTTACCTACTCTTACTATTTAAGTTATATTTGATTAGCAAATTCTGTCAGCTTTGCCTTCAAGATATTTTCTCTTCCTTCAATTCTTCCTACTTCAGACCACTTTAGCCCAAGCTACTCATTTCTGGTTTGTTGGATTAAACCCTAACTGCTCCTCTTGCCTCCCTTACCCAACCTCAACTTACCAGTCAGAAGGATCACATTATTCCTCTATTCAAAATTTATCAAGATTTTCTAATCTCAAAGTAAAAGCAAAATCTTTACAACCATTTATAAGGCACAACACAAACTAGCTCTCCATTACTTCCTGACCACATCTCTTGACTTCTCTCATCCTTTCCTAACCACAGGTCTTTGCTGCTTCCCAAAAGTTCCTCAAGTATGCCAGATATGTTCTTGCCTACAGGTTTCTGCATAACATGGTCTCTCATCGTCTTCACGTCTTTGCTCTAATGTTACGTTCTCAGGTCTGCCTGGCAGACCACTCTGCTTAAAGTTGCAAACTATCTTTGATCTTTCCCCATCCTCATCTTCTGTGTTTTCATCTCTTCTCACAGTATTTACCATCATTTAACATATTACACACTTAAAACACTTTATTATTGTTCTCCTCGACTAGATGATAAACTTTATGAGAGCAGATATTATTCTTTTTTCATACAAGTATGTCCTATAAAAATGAGTATTCAATGACTTTTTAATTTTTTTTATTAATTTGTTAATTTTTTGGTGGTACTGAGGCTTGAATTCAGGGTCTCATGGCAGGTGCTTTACCTCTTAAGCCACACCTGCAGCCATTTTTTGCTTTAGTTATTTTTCAGGCACGGTCTCCCATTTTTGATCAGGGCTATGATTCTCCTAACTGTGTGGCCTCCCGCATAGAGTATACCACCATGCTCACCTTATTATTTATTGTTTTAGGGGGTCTGGCTTCTCTTTAGTTCTTATCACATCACGAGTCTATGAGAAGGCACTTAAATGGGACGATTACTGATTCCAGCCAACCATATCTTCCCTTCCCCAACTCCCTTGACACTAGTTTGTGGGTCCACTTAACCATTAGACCCTTGCGAGAGCCCAAGGCCTTGACCTCCAGATTCCAGATGTGTGCAGAGGGGTTTCAGAACCAGAAGTTGGAGTTGGAAGGCAGGGTGTCCTGGGAGCTGCTCCCAGCCAGCAGCGGGCGAGGAAGGAGGCGGCAGGGGTGGGTTGGCACAGGGAAGGACAGCAAGGCCAGGCTTCCTGAAGACCTCTCAAGCCCCACAGAAGGTTCCATCTCCTGCAGATACCCTAAAGGCACTGGTGGAATGGAGTGAAGGAGGCACCAGTTAGAGGGTGAAGATCCCCCATTCACTTAGCTGGTGGGCCTAGCTTGTTGCCGGGCACAGAAGGCGCTCAATAAATGTTTTTTTGAATGAATGGAGCAAAGAGGCTGTAAGGGACAGAAGACAAAGACTGCAGCCCCTGGGCCCAGCTTGTACCTTTCAGAAAACAGCAGTTTAAAAAATGTAAAACTCATTTCCCTTCCTCCCCACAATTTCTGGGCCCAGGAAAGGGGAGAGGGAGCACCCTCTCTACAGAGACCCTTCCCTCTCTCCTTCCCTTAAAAATCTATTTACACATATTTATATGGTACTATAACAGGGTCCTGTGCAGATCCGGAGGATGCATTGCTAGAGGGGCCAACCCCCAGGGCCTTAAGGTGGTTAAGGAAGAAGTAAGGTGTCCAGGCTTGATAAGGAGCAGCCGTAGTCATCAGCTTAAAGAAGGTGGACTTTGGGGTCCTGAAGGAAGGATCCCCTGCTCCCCTCACAAGTGGTAAATAGACCTTCTCCTTCCTCCCTCCCTCCCAAGCAGAAACTGGTAAGGGCTCTGACAGTCCCAAGGGAGGAGGTCAGGAGGGAAAAGCTTGGTTCCTCCCAGACCAGCCTACACTACAGCCACCTGCAGGCTGTTCCAGGGGGGAAGATCCCCCAGAAAGTTGACTGGGCAAAGGGGAGAGGTGTTCTATGCAAGGCACTTAGTGACCACAGTTCTGAGGATGGGGGTCCAAGGCATGGAGCAACAGAAACCCTGCCCCTATCCCCAGAGCAGAACTAGAGCTGAGGGGCCTGATTTGCATGCTTAGCTTATTAGTGAGATAGGATCTGGGTAACTTTGTCTGGGCTGGCCTTGAATCATGATCCTTCGATCTCTGCCTCTTGAGCAGCTGAGATTACAGGTGTGGCTTTCAATGATTTCTTTTAAATGGATGAAATCATTCTTTGGCAAACTACTAAGTCTGTATTTCAAATCAAACCCCAAACCTACACATTTTGCTGTGTATAATTATATACCATTTATGTTCAGAACGTAAGACAACACTGACTAAACTGAAGCAATCTTAATTTTGTTAAGTGTCAATTAGAATGATGAATGAAAGGTAAGTCATATTGGTTATTAATGACTGCTTTGGTTCAACTTATTGAATATCAATATTTATTTTTACAGAAATTATAGTAGTTGGAAACCATCACCCTTTCACAGTTCTTGCATTTGTCACTGTAATCTTTTCTTTTTTGGTGGGATTGGGGTTTGAATTCAGGGCTTTGTGCTTGCAAAGCAGGTGCTCTACCACTTGAGCCACACCTCCAGTCCATTTTGCTCTGGTTATTTTGGAAATTGGGTCTTGTGAACTCATTGCCCAGGGCTGGCCTAGAACAGTGATCCTCCCAACCGTAGCCTCCCAGGTAGAAAGGATTACAGGTGTGAGCCACTGTGAAGTCTTAACTATTAAATTGCTATCAAAGGCCAGGTGTCAGTGGCTCTAACCTATAATCCTAGTTATTTAGGAGGCAGAGATCAGGAGGATCATGGTTCAAAGCCAGTCCTGGTAAATAATTTGCAAGACCCTATCGCAAAAATATCCAACACAAAAAAGGGCTAGGGGAGTAGTTAAAGTGTAAGAGCATCTGCATAGCAAACATGAAGCCCTGAGTTTAAGGAAAAAAGAAAAAGATAAAATTGCTGCCAGAATTCAAGATCTTCCAAAATTTGTATCATTCAGTCTTTTATGTAGCTGCTTTCACAGCTCAACTTTCCTCACCCATGCCAGGTAAAATGCATGTTGATTTACATCTTAGATTTTTAAGAACATTACATTTAAGTACATAAAATACCTTTAAATTAACCTTACTTAAATACATGTCATACTTAAAGCACATTGATCTCTGTCTATTCCAGTATTTCTTAATATATTTTGGGCACAATATCCCTTTAGAAAGGTAATAACCTATTCTCAGAAAACTGTCCATATGCTCATATATTCAAAATCTTGTCTATAATTTCATTTGATTGAGTCCCCTAAAGCCTAAGAACATGTGTTAAGGTCAATAATCAAATTAAGTAAAAATTGCAACCTAAATAGAATCTAGTAGAAGTCAGAACAATAACATTCTATGTTCAATGACATTCTGATCTCACACTCATAGTGTTGAAGTGCTATTCATTTTACATAATTTTGCACTTTGTACAAATTATTTTATGCCTAGATATCTGCTCATACAATTCAAAAATAAACTACTTGAACTAGATGTAATGGAATGTTACTTTACTTTCCAAATACTGTATAAAATAAGAAAGTTTACATTTCAATATTTTTAAGACTGAAAACTGCCCTTTATTTTTAGTAAGTAATCATTTAATTTTTAGTAATAAGTAAGCCAAAGGAGCCTAATTTAAAAACATGAAGTTTGTTTCATCCTTCTGGCTGTCAAAATGTTTACTACAGTGTTATAAAGCAAGAATTTGTTCTTAACCAAATAGAGGAAAATCTGACAGAGTCTGAAAAAAGAGAAAGTGATTAGCAAATTAACAATTAATGCTGACCTGCAGCTGCATCTGCAAGTTGTGAGAGAGGCACAATCTGCGACATTCTCTGACTCTTCAAGAATGAAAAGAAGTTTTTCCACAGTGCGCCAGCAATTGCAGCAAGGTGGCGCTCTTTAGCTGATAATGAAGACTGCACAGTTAGGCCCACATTCTCCCCTTGAAATTCCTGACACAATTGTTGATGAATACTCCTAAAAAGAAATAAAAATACAGCTAACACCCAAGAAATGCTTACGGAAATCTTCCTTAAATACGTTTTTAGCTATTTTCATTTATACCATATGAAAACTGAAGGACCATTTCATATAATTAAAACCTTTTTGCCAAGACATAATGCATTTCTGGTTATTTGATGGATGAATGATGGCATATTAAGCACCATAAAGTTAATGTTAATTACTAATGTCAACCATTAATTATATGCTTTTTAATATGTCACATCCAAATGAAAAACAGGCAGCTTCAAAATGAAGGTCTGCATTTTGCAACTCATGTATGACAAGTGATTTTACTTACAAGCTAGACATAAAAACAATTTTTTAAACCATTTTCTCCTGAGGGCTTTAGGACACAGATGTATACTGGGATGAAGTTAAGTACATCTGTGTGGTGTTTTAAATTAGAATTTTTTCTTGTTTAGAAAAGACACAGGCCTTGTGCTAGTATACAAAACTGTGCTGGATACAGTTTTAGTATCTTGGACCCAAAAGACCTATAATCATTTTTATGTACTAGACAGACAATAAAAAGTTACTTTTTATTAAATAATAAAATATAATTTATACTGCCTTAAATTTTGATTCAGCATCTAATCACTTTTTCTGCTTAATTAAATTGAAAATATAGATATCACTGGTCCTTAATAGAACCACATCTGCAGGAAAATGAGGTTACCAAAGTAAGATAGGGAAATACTAAAAGATTTTCTTAGAGTATGGAAGAGAAGGCATTTAAGCAGTATACTCAGAAATTAATAATATGATCTATTAAAAGCACAACCATAGTATTATTCCTGTTTCTGTTTATATCACTACCAGACCAACTAAAAGTAGACATAACTGAACAGATATCATTCTTCCATTTGCTTTCATCAATTGTACAGAAAACAGTGAAATATAACCAATGGAAATAAAGTAGAAGATTTCCTTTCACAGAAATAGTATTCCACTTAGAAAAATAATCAATACTTTGAGAATGAGAGAAACATTATTTTAATTCCAATACAGTATTCTTGATCTTGTAAAACAGTTTATCTAGGGGAAGCAGATACTTGAAAGAACTACACAAAACAGAGAAGTAGTACATGCACTTAAAGCAATTCCACAAAGTGATCAAAGCAAGACCACATCTTGTCACATAATTACACTTAAGGAGTAAAGATTCTAAGGATAAATTACATAGCATTAGTACCTTTACATTAGAATCCTGTACAATCAGGGGTACTGCTTAATTCTACTTAAGGCACTAAAAAAAAAGTGTACAAATGCTTGGGGAAAGTTGCTGAATATATAGAAAACAATTCTCATAAAAGTTAAACAAGTATCCATTATGTCTGCTCCGTGTAAAAACCTGCCTGAGATGTCTTCAACCTGAACTACAGGCTAGAGACTATTCTATATTTTAGGTCCTTTAGCTTGTAATAAAATGAATAATACACTGCTAACTTCATTTGGCAACCAGTTCAACTGCCTATATCAACATAGCTAAGATCATGAGTACATGTCTACATATCTTCATTTCTACATAATGAAGTCCAAGTAAAATAATACTACCGTTTCCACTGCCTTTTGTAGCTTTTTCCAAGTACACTAGTCTTAACAGATAATGAATAACATACTGTACTTGGGTAGAATAGATAATTGTTCTCTTTTTCTAAATAAAACTACATTGCAATTGTGTAGGAAGATAGTATAATGAAATACATTGAAAGTTGTTGAATACTAGGGGGTAGGAATAAGGGAGAAAAATAAGGGGGGGGGTAAAATCTGATTAATACACAATATAATCACAGGTGAACTACCATGGAGAAACCCCTTTGAACAATGAATATACTCTTAAAAAAATGAAGGACAGGAATGTAAAACAGGTCCTAATGGGGAAGAGTACTTCAAGGAGAGGGGAGGGCGAATCGAAAGGGTAAAGAAGAGTAAATATAGTCATATAGTCAATGTATTTAATATATTTGTATGAAAATATGTTGAAACCATGTAAGTCATGGGAGAGAGAGATGAGGGAAAATGATGGTGGGGGGGGTCAATCTAACCAAGATACATTGCATGCATATATGGAAAATATCACAACGAAACCTTCCCATACAACTAATATATGCTAATAAAATGTTTTTAAAATCACTTTATTCACTAACTAAGACTTATAACTTAAGAAGTAATAAACTTTCTGATGTCTCTATATGCTAGAAATTATTTTACTTAAAAATTAGACCCCTGCTGGGTGTGGTGATGATGCACACATGTAATCCTGGCACTCAGAATTCTGAAGCAAGAGGATCATGGAGTTTTGCCCAGCATGGACTATATAAAGAGATCATATTTTAAAAAGAAAAAACCCAGACCCCTAGCTCTCAAAAGTAAACAAAAATCAACTCAACATGGATTAAGGATTTACATGTAAGACATGAAACTATGAAGCTACTTAAAGAAACATTTGGAAAATGCTTCAGGCCAACAGAATGGTCTCAGAGCTTTTGGATAAAACCTCCAAAAGACAGGTAACAAAGGCAAAAATTAACAAATGGATTTATATTAAGCCAAAAACCTGCACATCAAAGGAAACAATCATCAGAGTGAAGAAATGACCATCAGAATGAGAGAAAATATTTGCATCTGATAAGAGGTTATTAGTTAGGATATAAAAGTAACTCCAAAACCTTAATAGTTAAAAAAAAAATATTTTAAATGCTCAATAGGCCTTAACAGACATCTTTCAAAAGACATAAATAAATGGCCAGCCTCTATATGAAAAAATGCTCAAATACAAACCAAAACCACAATGAACTCTCACTTCACTCTAGCAAGAATGACTTTTATCAAAAAGACTAACGGTAAGAAGTGCGGGTAAGGATGCAGAGAAAAGGGAACCCTTGCACACTGTTGGTGAGAGTGCAAAATTAGTTAAGTCATTATAGAAAATAGTGTGAGAGTTCTTCAAGTAATTAAAAACAGAACTACCATAAAATTCAGCAATCCCACTTAGGGGCACACAGTTAGCCTGCCTTATCCATGCATTTACCATACATGGTTTTGACTAAACATAGTCAAAATAAATATCAATCAAAAGAAATTTCAAAAACAAGTATTTTAAATTTCCACATACACAGTATGCACCTCCATTAATGTAGACAAGTTCCAGTCAGTCCTGTGTTACGAGCAGTTGTGTTTAAATTGTGTGGTCTGACAAGAACTTACTTTTGCTGAAAATCTGCCTCTCAACAAGCAAATGTTGCCGGAAAAAGCAAGGTAGAAGTTATGGTAATGCTCCCAGGCCAAAAAGGGCCATAATATTCTTATGTGATATTGTGAAAATTTTAGATTTGTAGCAGGTCTTTAGCATGTAATGGGAAACATGAATCAAGCATCTATAGTACAGCACTGAACCCTATGCATCCTGAGCATTCCCAGTATTCCTTTAGTGGTGGTCTCCTCTGAAATGTATACCTGAAGATACCAAGGGTGTGCTGTATATACAAAGGAAATGAAGTCAGTATATCAGAGACATATGCACTCCTATGTTCATTGCAGCACTATTGACAATTTCTTGCAGCACTATTGACAATAATCAAGAAATGGAAATAACTAAGTGTCCATCAACCAATGAATGGATAAAGTGATATCTACATGATGGAATACCATTCAGCCATAAAAAAGAAAGAAATTCTATCATTTTCAACAACATGGATGAAACTGGAAATCATCATGTTAAGTAAAATAAGCCAGATACAGAAAAACAAGTACTACATGATGTCTCCTATGTTTGGAATATAAAAAGTTGATCTCTTTGAAAGTTGAGAGTAGAATTGTGGTTATGAGAGACAGGTGGGGGCAATGGAGAAAGATGATTGATGGGTACTAAGTTCCAGTTAGTAGGAGTGAGAAGTTCAGCTCTGCTATTGCACAGGAGGGTAAGTATAGATAATAATTATGTGTTGTACATTTCAAAAAGTGAGACATTCTGGATGTTTTTACTATAAAAAATGATAAATGCTTGAGTAGCTAAATATGTTTAACATTACCCAAACATGTATACATGTATCAACATATCTTATTATCCCATTAATATGTATTATTTTTAGTTTTCATGTATCAGTTAAATAAAGAAAAAAAATCAGAACTCTGTAGGATGGGCCATTATAGATGGTGAAACATGGCAAGAAACTTAAATACTATGCCCAAAGGTCACATGGCTAAGAAGGGCTGACCCCATAATCTGAACCTAAACCTGACTGTGAAGCCCACAAACTAACACACAAACAGGTTTAAAAACCATTAAACATTGGCAATTCTTTTTCTCTCCTTACTTGGGTTGAAAAATTTCAGCAAATTTACAAAAAAGGAGCAGGAAGAGCCATGTATAGTACTTTTGACAAGCCAGCGTAAATACCAGAATTTTGCATTAGGAAAGACTGTAAGAGATAACAGAAAGAAGGCATTCAAGACAATATTAACAAAGAAAGATGAATCCGAACCACCTATGACCTCTTCAGAACAAAATGCTGAGGTACCACGGAGTCCATCTAGTGGTTATATAGGGATAAATTCAGAGATCTGAATACATTAAAGTTAAAAAAAACAACAAACCATTGCACAAAAATTTAATGTTAGAGATTATATCCTTCAAGGTGGAGTTAATATAAAAAAGACAAATTCCAATTCAGTGTAAGACAATGACCCCACACTGAACTTGGTTTAGAAATATGTATCCATGTAGTATTTTAGATTTGAAAATACCCTGGGAATAGGCAGAACACTTTCTGCTCAATGACTCCAATGTTATATAACACATGTTATATTAGTTTATTAGTCTGGATAACAGGGATAATTAACTGGTATATTAACACAGAACAAAGTTGCTTAGGAATTTATAATAATTTCTCTATTCAAGAAGAAATCAGTAAGTGACAAATGCAAGAAATGTCCAGGATATACCATAATGAATGATATAATCAAATAGGTAAAAATACTTGGTACACTCACAGGTAATTTTTAAAATCACATGTTATGGACCAGAAAAATACCTGTACTGAGA